ACTGTTGTGTTTTAGAAAATCTTTATTTTGTTAAAATTATAATGAAAATCATTTCATTGAAAGTTTAAAAGAAAAATAATGTGAGGTACAACTTGCGCGGCGTAAAAGGTGCTATACAAATGTAATCTTGTTGTTGTTGTTTTGAGTTTTAAGTGTGCGCTAGATATCTTAAAACTTGTTATCAGGCAAATATATGGCATTTTTTAATGTGGGAAATAAAATATTAAGATTGTGAATTATTTTAGTATTTCATTAGAAATAATAAATGGTAATACTTCTGTGCCAAATATTATAACAACTGAATTGTGTTAATATGTTTCATTGTAATTCCTTTTATGGGTTCTGATATCCTTAATTGTGCCTATTGGCAAGAAGAAAGAAAATGGAACTACAGCAATGTAATTTGGAGCAAAGCTTTCACTTGTGAGAAGTTTCCTCAACTTTGTAACTTGTTTACATTAGGGGCTGAGGCCCCCTCCTTCCCGGTCTTAGGATCACCCGTAACGACCTTCCTCTTCAACCGTCTCTATGTCTACATCATTACGCTTCACAGTAAGATCGATTGAAGCACTTTCAGAGAGCTTGACAATGTGATAAAGTGCTATTCCAAAATGCAAGGATTGTTATTATATTATTTGTAATGGAGCTCTCTACCAGAAGGAAGCGTCACGCATTATTTAATGTGACGATGATGACGGATTTAAAAAGGCAATGGTTACAGCCCCACCCCAAATATTATTCACCAAATAAAAGCTTCATTTGTCATCTGGGTCATTGCTGCTTGTGAAAATGTATTTGTGAAGATTAGCTGCTGCTTTTGCTAATATAAGTCACTATGTGTCAAAGTCACTCATTGTTCAGAGGAACTTTGATATATTTTTGCTCTCAAATTACCGCCCCATCTCTGACCTCCACTTCCTTTCCAAGGTCTTGAACGAGTCGTTGCTTCCCAGCTTCGCTCATTCCTATCCTGCCATATGAACCCCTCCAATTGGATTTCCATGCTGCGCACAGCACAGAAACAGCCCCGGTCAAAGTGACAAATGACATTCTGTTCATTTGTGACCAGGGCTCCCTCTGTCTACTCTTCCTCCTTCACACTCTGCTGCCTTTGATGCCAAAGACTCCCAAGGCGCTGGACAGTCAGGGATTTGGACTCAAGCAGGGATTTGGGATCAGGAGGTGTGGAGGGAAGAGAGGGTAGGAGGGTGTCCAAAGGCACGATCGAAGAGGAGGGATTTGAGACTTGCCTTGAAGGAGGTAAGTGGGGGAGCGAAGGGATTGTGGAATGGAGATCCAAAGGGTGAGGCAGGGAGGCTGAAGGCTCGACTGTCAATGGTGGGGTGGGCCGGGGAACGTGGAGCCTGCTGAGCGGAAGGAGCGGACAGGTTGATATGATGGTAGCAGGTCAAGTTACAGTTACTGGAATGTATTCCCATTTGAGTGATTCAGATTCCGCATTATGGAATTGTATTTCAAATCCTGCATTTTAGACCCTCGTAAATTGGTGAGATCAGCAGCAAAACGTAAAATGATATATTGTGATTTGCTGTCATTATTATGTCTGGTTGACTTGCTAATGGTACAAATACAGATACTTACTTTACTGCCACCAGATTTTAATTTACATTGAAACATTATCTAATCTGTTGGTGTGAATGTGAGTTACTGCTGCACTTCATTGAACAGTTAATGTGGCCTTCTGTTTCTGAAATCAAAATGAAAGGTTTGCTTCCAACTCATTGCTATGATAATTAGAACAGATTATGTACTCATCCCACTGGAGCAGATGCAGCTACCATTAATGTCAAGGTTGCTGCTGTATTTTAGAACACTGAAGGGCTCAAGGTCAAAATAAAATATCTGCTACCACATAAAACATAAGTAACAAGCAGCTGTTTCATGCTGTAAACCAGATACAAGTCTTCACAAAACCTTTGCAGTAATTAGATACTGATTGGATTGAAAACATTCTCTCTACCCAGTCCAGTTTACTGCAATGCACTGGCCCCTAGCATCCCCACTGGCAGGATCTCTCAATGCTAAACTAACAGCTTTTCCATTAATTTGCTTTATGCATTTAACAAAATGAACAGAGTTCTGTAGAATGGAATGCATTCGTTTGGTAATTGAATCCGTACAGTGTATTTCTAGACTAGGTGATGACATGGCTAATGACACCGATGGAATTCATATTTAGCATTTTTCAAACCCAACCTAAAGATTGCACCCTGCTGCATCAACGGTTTTAATTATTGATGCCTGGAGTTGGAGCTGGAAGAGTTAAAAGTGAAATGAGAGTTGTTAAATTGTTAGCAGAGAATCATCAGTGTATTGGAGGCAGTAACTAATGTTAATTGGTGTTTCTGTCTTGTTGGATGGATGTGAAATCAGAGACCAACAGTTGAATGATATTAACTGAGATAGAGAAACAGCCAGATCTCCCTCTCATCCCTAATACAGTGCTGGTTAGACTGCAGAACTGGACAGCTAATCCTGTGATTTGGTCAGGCTGACATACAAGTAAGGCTGCTTTCCTACGGATGTCAACCCAGTAGCAGTTTCCTGTAACGTTCACGAATATCAAGCTTTAGCTCAGAAGTGTTTGTGTAAGATAAGTAATTATTGCATTTGATATAGCAAGTTATCACATCGAAAATTTACAAAGCCCTTTACACAATGGGTTACTTTGAAGTGCAGTGACTGTTCTCATATTTTGTGACTATGATGTTTTCCAGTACCATCTTTACACTGAGTCCCACAGTGCATTTGAAAATTAGCTCAGCAAGATTTTTGTGTTGTTTATTGAAACTGCTGAATGTGTTTCAGGTATAGTTCATGGTATACAGTAGAGTGCAGTGGATATTGTTGCTCGGGTAACATAATATCTAATGCATCAGTTTCCGTTATATTCTCAAGCAAAATCAATTATAAAAGGATTTATATTTAATGGATATGCTTGAACAAAGAACAAAGGTTCAACAATGTGCCATTGGGCCAAATGCATATTATTATGCGTTCATAAAAAGTATGCAGGTCATCAAGCAATCTGTAGAGCACATATTCAGGCTCCCTGGCATAAAAGCACTTTAGATAGTTTTCTGATGCTAAAAACGCACATTTACTGCTATGTCATTAACATTGCACAAACCAACAATCCTCCAGATTAATTGTTAATTCATTCTTTGGTTGTTTGTCTTGCTAGCACAATATACTATCACCTTTGTCTACAAAAAAGTGGTACAATACTTGATAGTAATTTCTTACGAACTTCTTTGATGTATTTCAACATGATAGCCCTCCCATCACACTCCTAGTTAGCTGTGTGAAGCACTTTCAGACGTCCTCCTAATGTGAAAGGTGCTGTATAAATGTGAAATTGTTATTGCTGTTGATAAAGTGCTCTACAATACAATTTCTCCCTCCATTTTGAGCTCCTTTGCAATCTCCATAGGGTTGTACGATATTAACCAGCTTTATTACATCTTTTATTCTCTTAGTTTCTGAAATCTTTTGTCATTTGAGGTGCTCTTGATTCTGTGGGTTCTACTGCCATGGTTTGTCTTGTGTCTATTGTATAGTACAAATGATTTTTCTTTATAAATGCAATACTTGCATACATTTATTAACCTGTTTCTTCAGAATAATACTTACGTAATAATGCAATCCAATTAGTTGCATTGAGCAAATGGGACAAGTTGGAGTGACTTCTCAATGCATCAGTATGGAATATGCACTTGTTATTCATTGTAAATGTCGTGATGTGATTTTAAAAAAAAGCTCTTGAAAAATATTGACTAAAGTCCAATGGTAATAAAACCTCTTCTGAGTGTCATTTCTAATGTCGTTTGGATGAGACATTATAACTGAGGTTCAGTTTGCTTGTTCAGGTGGATGTTAAATATCCCATGGCAAAAAGAGACAGGAGTTTATCCTGGTGTCCTGACCAATAATCCCTCAAATAAAGGTGATTCAGCTCCTGGCTATTTCTGGGAAAATTGACATGCGCAAATTGGTTGCTGCATTTGCCCACAAAACACACAGTCACTCTACTTTAAACTATATCTGTTAAAGACTTTGCGTCATCCTCCCAACTTGAAAGGCAAACGGAGACACTGGACTCATTTTTTTAAAAAAAGCAACTTGTTGCTGTGATGGGAGTACAGTACGATGGGAGTTCTGGAAGGATCCAAAATTCAGCGCCTTGGGACGTCCTCCTGACGTGAAAGGCGCTTTATTAATGGAATCTTGTTGTTGTTGTTGTTGTTGTTGATGAGATCAAATGGGCTGAAGGGCACTGTTTGTGTTTGCCTAAAGTTCGCAGTCACTATTTTTCACAGTAAAATCTCATAAAGTGCTTTCAGATTTCTCGACAATGTGATATGGTGCTATATCAAATGTAAGAATCATATTAAGGATTATATTAGAATCTTGGGACCTTGTGAACGCTATCGCTTTGTGGCCCTTTTCCTGGCATAAATTAACACTGTGCAGAGGTTTGAAAGATCACAAACTGGTCGCGAATAGTAATTGCTTAAAACTCCCATTGCTTTCACTGACAACTATATGTTTAAACAATATCTTCTGTGATGGATTTAGAAGTTTGAATGAAACAGAACAATTAATCCTCACCATATGAAAAGTAAATATTTTTCTTTTCTCGTGGAGTCGGTCACATCTGCATTTCTTCTAGCAAACTGTGATGTCTGGACGGCTGTTGTCTTATGCAATAAGATTGATAGGAAATTCCGGTGCTTAATCCCTCCCTGGGAGATCAAAGCATCTCAAAATGTATTTTCAGAACTCTTTTTCTATCACTTGAAGCGAGTTTCTGTGATCATTATACTTTGCATACCAGCATGTTGGTGCATCCAATAAGAATATGTGCAAACATCCTTACTTCATTGGCAATATTCATTAATTATGCATATCTTCTTCATTATAACTGAATTAAATGTACTCTGGTGAGTCTGATTCCTTTCCCTTTTGTCTGTTTGCAGGCCAGCGTTCCTCTCTGTGCCATAGCACATGGATTTCAGGACTGCGTCTGAGGAGGTATGTTCTACTCTATTGTGCACCTCCGTTCAACACCTCTCCACAACAACAGCCATAATTTTAAATTTATGTATCGCCTTTCATCTTGGAAGGGCTTCTTAAAGTGCTTCACAGTACTAAAATCTGTAAATGAAAGGATGCACAGTAAGTGCTTTGGATACTTTTGCTTTTCTTAGGGTAGATTTCTGCTCAACCAAACGTATCCTCCTGCACAATAAAATTCGCTGATCCCAGTGAGTATATTTGGAATGCAAGAAGGCAGCAAAATGATACACTGCTCCAGGCAACATAGCTTCTTGAAGATCAGTGGGAGGGATAAAAGCATTGAAGTAAACAGCCCTTCACAGTGAACCTTTATAACAGATAAAGCAATGTGTTGAAAAGTCTAGTATCACATTTGTAAAGCCCATAACATTTTATGTTTGACCTAACCGAATGCATTGTGATAGCGAGCTGCATTGACCAAGTTTGATCCTTGGTCTGTGTTGAGGCAGCAGTTCTTAGACCAGTAAAACTAGTCGTAGTTTCCTTAGGGCTAGGAAAGGTCCTGCTCGTGAACACTGGCTGCTTGAAGGCCTATGTGAGTGGATATCAGCGGCCTAATAGTTCTCCTGCTCTCAGGTTGTAAGGCGATGATTTGTCTTAAAATTAAGATCGTGGAGCATTGTGAAACATTCTTAAATCACTCTGAATTTGGAATCCAATTCTTTTTAAAACTTTGCAAAACCGACTGAACAGATTGAACAGATTTTTAAAAAATGTTCTACAATTATGCACGACAGAGGACCCAGGTTATATATGGGCCTGTGGTGTACTGAATGTATAGTGCAGGGGTTGGGGAGGAGCAGGTTGGGGACTTATCCATACTGTATTCTGTGAAGTTGTATTCAAATGCTATAATACAGGTCATTCCACTTTACAGTATATCCTGTAAAGAGCTTCGAGACTTCCTCCTGACTTGAAAGGTGCTATATCAAATGAAAGGACTATTGTGTGACAGTTTTTAAATTGCTCTTAAAACCCCTGCAACTATTGCAAAAGCTAAAACTGCATCGCAGTTGCCCCATTATCTGGCTGAGATCAGAATGGAAAAAAAGTTTTGTAAGAAATAAGATGCCTAATTTTCTGGCAAACAAACGTTTTATTTATGTATTTGCATGTCAAGGAATATAAATTCACAGAAGCACTATTAGAAAACACAGAAATAAGTTTGAAAGAGTTACAAAAAGAAAGGGAACCAAACAGATCCATTCTGGTATATCATATCAGTTGTTAAAGCTGATGGCAAAGCCCTTCATCCTTTATTAAGTTTGATGAAAAATAATTTAAAATCACATTTATTGTCTAATACTCTTCTATCATATCAATCTTTTTTAAAAATTGCATTATCAAGTTTGCACATGAAAGAAGATAAGATTACAGAGGCCATCACTTTTGAAAATACAGATATAATTGGAGCATTTCACTGAAAATTTACATTTTGGTTGTAGGAAGAAATTAATTTCGATTTCCATTATCACAGGTTTAACTTTATTAATGTATCACAATGGGCCTACGCCCTGGAAATCAGAGATTGCCAAACCTTCGCAGTAAAAGAAATAGAATTTAGCTTTCGAATTTGTACTCTTTTCAAGCTGAAATCTGAAGCAATTTGATTACGATTAATGTTGTAAAATATTTCAAGTATGGAATACGCACAGTAATATTGTCAAATTCAAGCATTATTATTGTTATATAATCCTAAGACTTAAATGAATATTGCAAGCAAACAGATTGGATATGGATTATACAAGTTTTCTCATTTTTTCTTCTGTATTACTTTTTAAGGTACCATTCCCTTATTAAGTACTTTGACAATTTGTAAACTTGGGGCATTCTCGGTTCTGTTCATTATGATTAGCATATTGATATATGTTTTATATTTTGGGGTGACAAAATGCATTGTATAATGCAACAATTATTGATTCATTGTTAATTCTATCCCAGTTGATGTCTGACTCACTGAGCACATTAACCATCTTTTATCAAAGTTAAGCTAAGTGGCTATTGAGCTGACCCACTCAAGCCTTTTGAACCGGCCACTTGCAAATAGCAGCATTGTAGTGCTAGGTCATTCACCAGTGTAATTCAACTTTTAAATTGTCACCAGTGATATTTATTACTTCACATGTTGTACTTTTCAAACATTCTTGACCTGAAGCAGAGGCTGATTTTCCACAAGACCCTCTTTGGAAGGAGTGAGTAGTGTAATTTTGTTTAGGATTGTTCAGCCATTTTGCCTCCGCTCTCTGGAACTCCATCCTGGAATCCCTCTCCCTTACCTAATCTGTCCCACCTTCAAAACCCATTTTAAGAGCTGGCTTTTTGACTGTGATTTGGATTACTTCCCCCTCCACCAGACGCCTCTCCATCTCCCAGGCAGCTGTGAGATGTCTTCCTGATGTGAAAAGTATTATATGAATGTAAGTTGATATTTAGCATTGTCTGCGGGAATACATGGTTTTACTTCTACTTGCAAAATTGCAGTAGCTATGAAACTGCATAAGCAGAAAGCCAGTTGCTACAGCAAAAATTTGTTTGATCAGATACTTTTCTGTAGATGCAAACCACTGATTTAATTATTCAATACAGATGTAAGCAATACTGATGCTTCTTCAATGTATTAAATGTGCATTCACTATATTTTTTAGAGAGACTATGCCATCTGTCAAATTACTTTGAATTCTTAAAAATATTAAATGATAGCAAGCAAAGCTATGCTCCAGAGCTATCCCTGACAGATTAGTTTGGCATATTTTTTAAAGGAACACATAATAGGGAGCAATTCCCCCTGGGCTAGATTTACTCTATTTATGTAGCATTTTAGAGGATTCAGAATTGGGCAAATTGTTAAACATAGCCATAATTTTGAAGCTAGTTTTCTGAAAGTTCATTTCAAAGATCCCATGACACGAGTCATAAAGAGAAGGGAGTTTTTCCTGGTGTCCTTGTCAACAATCCTCCAGATAAAAATAAATTGTTACTTACTTCCTGCCCACAAAGTATACAGTCTTATTACAGAAAAGATAAAGTGTTGTAAAATGCTTTGAGGTGCCCTCCGGATGCATACTACATTATATCAAATGCAAGGATTATTATTATTAATAATTAATGTTTAATAAGAATGATGAGCATCCAGGGAGCAGGGAGTGTATGCTGGATGGTGTATTTGAAGTTTGAGAATAACTAAGGAGGAAAGTTAAGTGGAGTATTGACTTCAATAGTATCAGTAAAATAAAAACAAGGAAGGTTGCAACAGAGAGAAAGATGAGGGACAGAGGATTTATCAGACAACAATCTTTTCTTTTGTATCATAATCAGAAATGTGAGAGCGATATTCTGGAAGCACTTCCTCTTTAAGATTTCAATCTATTTGTCCTTTACAGAAAATCAAGTGTTGATGAGGGGTAAATAAGTATACGGCTAATGGCTAACTTAGCAAGGGTTAAACACTTATAACAGGATTATGCTGAATCAGTTGAGATTGCTGCTAGCCTTTTAAGAAAGTAGCTGCTAAAAATCAGGAATATGTAAAGTTCTCTCCTCTTTGGTGCTAAAGGTGTTCGAGCCTTCATATTCCGTGCTAACAATTGAATATTATTTCTCTGAATAACTGGGAGACGCACATAAATTTATCTGGTTAAATTTTATGTATTCATTATAAACATTTCAGGACATTTTTTTAAAAAAACATTCTAACAATATGAATAGATGGATCATTATTTAAGGTGGGTTCTTTTTTCTCTCGCAATTTGGAGGAGCAAAATAAAATTATCCCTGTCAAAGTTCCTGAGTTACATGGCCAGAGTGCCTGCAGTACTTTTGAAGCAGAGGCAGTTGTAATCTCAGAGAGTTTTCAAGCGGTTGCATTTGGTACCAGAAGGTACCGTTGTTAGCTGTTACATGTATAATGCCGAAGTTCTGAGTTGTCTGTCTGTCTGTCTGTCTGTCTGTCTGTCTGTCTGTCTGTCTGTCTGTCTGTCTGTCTGTCTGTCTGTCTGTCTGTCTGTCTGTCTGTCTGTCTGTCTGACAGTGTATCTGACAGATACAGCTAGTAGTTGATAAAAGTAACTGGGGAAGTAATACCACTCCAAAAATACCACATAAAAGAATCTTTATTTTTCTTACCAGATTTCTTAATAAAGTATATTACAAAGAACGACATAAGGAATAATATTAGAATCCCTATTAAATCATCAGCAAAAGAGTGGATTAGGCTCGATGATCAGTGGAGAGGGTTTACAGCATAGAAAGAATTGGCACAGGCTCTCACTGCAAGATGTTCATTCAATCACACTGCACTGCCTTACTCTTCAAACCTCTATTTTTTACAACAGGTGAAATAATGTAAGGTATTTATTTACTTATTGCACCACTGTCACCAACTGGTTAGTGACAAACTAGAGAAATGCCTGGCCCATTGCAATATTGTGACCAAATGTAACGTGTCGCGAGGTCATTAAATGAATGAAGCGTTCTGAGACGCCATCTGGCGTGGAGGGCGCTATATAAATCGAAGTTGTTGTTGTTGAAATTTGCTCTATCGATCCTTACAAATATAACACCCTACCTGCTCAGTGAGTGAATTGCTCCCAAAGTTTAGATGAAGAGGGCTGGTCAACCCATTGGATCTCATCCTTCCTCAAGTGTCAGTCTGGCTCAGAAGCAGCACTCTCATCTCTGAGTCAGAAGGTTGTGTGTTCAAGCCGCATGTCAGGACTTGGAATTACTGTATCAAGCTGTCCTTCAGATGAGGTATTACAGCACCTGCTTGAGGTCCCGTCTACCTTTTCCTGTGAAGTTTAAAATGACAAATATCCTATGAAGTTGATGCTGGGTTGCCTGAAAGTAAATAAAATTATTGAAAAAAGCAGAGGAAGCTGAAATAATCTCAACATACCCTAGTGCCTAATAATAAATTTGATCTTCCACTCTAGATATTGTGACACCTTTTCCAGACAGTTATTTCATCTGTTGAGCACTATCTTCGCTTTAAAAGTTCAGAAAGCAGTCAGTATCCTAAACCAGTTGCCTCGGCAGCAGTATTTTGCAGCACAGTGTTATTTTGCCCTCTTTGCTCGAATATGTCACAAAGACACATATTTTTGCATTGGCTTCAGAAATTAAGAGTTCACTGAGTCGTTATTAATTCTATAAACAGCTTTTCATTTCACTCTGTTCTTTTTTCCTCCGAAGACAAAGACAGGAATTTGTTTGCTACAGGATGGAACTCAGGAGCCTTTTGAAGTGCGACTGCACTTAGCAAAGGATATTTTAACAATTCAGGAGCAAGACGTTATCTGTGTGTCGAGTGAACCTTTCTATTCCAGTGTAAGTATGATATTTATTCTCTCAAGAATATTTGAATTTCAACATGCATGTTATTTAGCATGAAAAAACTCCAGGTATTGACTAAAAAGTAACCATATTTTGTGCATTTACATCACTTCTTCACTGGAGATTTGTTGTGAAATATAAGACAGTATTTTTTTGGAATAATGGCCCAAATAGCTTGTGGTTCAGTTTGTCTTACGCCTTGTTTCACTGGTTAACATGTTGCTTCAGTCAGCAGGTGTGACAACATAAAATGCACTGGTGGGATTCACATGCATAACACTCATAAATGGCCTCAAGACTCAATGATAATCCAAGAAGTAAAGCACAGCAGCATGTGTGAAATTGATAGCAGGTGACCATGAGTGAAGGCTGGCATCTATTTACACAGCCAAGTTATATCACATGAGAGGTACACAATAAAGGTTTGGCTCCTCGTTTCTGAATATCCACCAAACTATATTTCAAGAGAGAACTTGATGCACGCGTGAGAGAGAAGGGAATAGAGGGGTACATGTGAGGAGATTAGTTGGGGTGGGGACTTGTGTGAAATATAAACACCAGCACAGACAGGTTGGGCTGGATGGCCTGTTTCCTTGCTACATCACTCGATGTAACGCTCTACTGTATAACTTGATTATAGCATCAAGCTGTTTCTTATATATGTCCAGCATCCCAGCTCTTGCACCCTTATTGGCAACACCTCCTAGCTGTTGACTAATCTCTGCATATCTCTATCCCGTTTAGGATCTCTGTGTCTCTGTAACATCCCCTCTGATTTGTTTATGACATAACTGGATAACTGGATTTTAATATAAGTGTTGCAAAATGTGTTTAGTTGATTACTGAACTTTACGCAACAGTAATCCCAGTTTCTTTTGCAACAACAACAACAAAATTATATTTATATAGTGCCTTTCACGTCAGGAGGACGTCCCAAGGCTGGAATGCATTGCAATAATGATCTATCATACTTGACTGTTTGCTGACCATTTGAAAGCTGAAAAGGAGGGTCTTGAGATGTGCCTTGGCAGAAGTAAGGGAGGGAGCAAGACGAGGGCATTGTGGGATGGAGTTCTAAAGGCTAGGGGCAGAGAGGCTGAAAGCCCGGCCATCAATGGTAGGGTGGGTCAGGCAGGAGACATTGAGTGGACCGGAGCCTGCAAATACGATGGAAAGAAGTGAGTTAAATCATTCAGGAGGTGATTGCATACAGCATTGAAGACATGAATTGGATAAATACATAATTCACCAGTAGCAGTAACAGCAGGACAGCTGCATGTGTTATAGCCGAACCTAAACCAATCTCAGCATGTTTTCCCGAATTATATCCAGATGTATTTATTCCTTGTTTGTATCAATCTGCTAAATATTTCATGCATTGTAATGAAATTAGGCTAAAGTAGTGGGAACAAACATCTGTTTAGTCCATGGAAATACAGTGGGAAGAGAGTATATGACCTTGTAGTGATACAGAATTAATTGAATCTCGGGTTCTGCTGGTGGTGAAGACCTTTCTCTGCTGAAGACCTTTCTTTTCAACTGCGCCTTTGGTCACCTTCCCACCCCTCCCCCTGGCTCGGTCCCGGGATCCTAAACTGTAAAGCGCTCTGAGACGCCGTCCGGCGTGGAGGGCGCTATATAAATCCAAGTTATTGTTGTTGGTGGTGGTGAGGAGGGGTTTGGCAACAGACATATATGTCCTTCCCTATATCTTGGAAGATATAATCCAAACATTAATTTTTATTAACCATTTCCTTTACTGGAAATAAAACTGATCTATATATTTATTCATCGGTTTTGTTTATATTGAAGGAAAGGGGTAAAAAACATTCCATATTGAAATGGTGATCTTTATATTGCAGTTCTGAAATTCGCATTCTCCAAAAGATCAATTGAAAAACTGAAGCTCCATTGTTTTTTCTCTTCGAACTTCCTCTCCAGTTTTCTCCCCGATTGCCTTCCCTTTTGCAGGGAAAGCCCATGCAGGCATTTAATTCCATAGATGCTGGTACCTCTCCTCTCTTCTACCTGGTTATGTTGGCTGGCATTAACTGTCCATGTGCTATCACAAGTCAACCAAACTCTGCTCTCATCTGCACATGAGAATTTCCTGAAGGACTCATAAGCTATTGATCAGAAGGCCTAAATTCCACTAAATTTACAAGATTAAATTGGTCTCAAGAGAAAATGACTAAGGTGACATGGAGTTTCAAGCCTCTGAAATGGGTATACCTTTACACTCTCGATAGCAGTGTTTGCAGTGACTAAAAGCTGAGAGGAAGCCCAGAAAGCAAAGCTGTATTGTGCACATGTTAACAGGCATCTGAGTTTCAGTGCTTGGTACACAATTTCATCCTTACTGTCCTCCCTTCAAAGATCAAGCCTTTTTTTTAAAAAAATGAATCCAGTGTCCTAGCCTCAAGCACTCTTCCTGGAAACAGTTCCAGTTGTTTGCTTTCTCTTGAGGAATTTTTTTTTTTCTGGTACCTGTCCTAAAATTGCTGTTTGCAACTCTACAACAGTAAAATTACATTTATAGAGCACCTTTCACGTTGGGAGAACGTCCCAAAGTGCTGAACAGTCAGGTGTCGGGGCCCGAGTATGGGGGAGGGATGGTGTAGGGGTGAGGGAAGGCAGAGAGGTGGGAGGGCGATCAAAGGCATGATCGAAGAGAAGGGTCTTGAGACCGGTCTTAAAGGAGGCAAGGGAGGAAGCGAGGCAAAGGGACCGTGGGATGGAGTTCCAGAGTGTGGGGGCAGAGAGGCTGAAAGCCTGGCCACCGATGGTAGAGCTGGTTGGGCGGGAAACGGAGCAGACCGGAGCCCGCTGAACGGAGGGAGCGGGCAGGTTGGTAGGGAGTCAGCAGGTCAGAGAGGTAGCAGGGGGCAAGGCCATGGATGGCCTTGAAAGTGAGAATGAGGATCTTGAACTCGATCCTCTGGGGGATGAGGAGGCAGTGGAGTCGGGTGAGGGTAGGAGTCATGGAGCCTGGTGCGTGAGAGTACACAAACTGCAGAGTTTTGGGTGATTTGCAGTCTGTGAAGGGAAGAGTTGGGAAGGCCGATGAGGAGGGAGTTTCCGTAATCGAGCCTTGATGTGACAAATGCGTGGGTGAGGGTTTCGGCAGCCTGAGAGGTGAGGCAGTGGCGAAGTCTGGCAATGTTGCGGAGGTTGTGGTAGACAGTGCTGGTCATGGCGCGGATGTGGGGGAGAAAGGACAGTTCAGGGTCAAACAAGACACCCAGTTTCCTGACTGGCTTAGTGAGGTTGAGTGTGCAGCCGTGGAGCCTTACCTCTAAACCTGTGTTCGCTTGTTCTAATGTCTTGGTGCATCCTAAAATATTGTTCTGAGGGTCACTCCACTGGTGCATGACACGCAGAGTCCTTGTCTGACATAGACATGGCGCTGTTTATGCCTTCAGCTCCCCTCTTGACTCTCTTCCCCCTCCTTGCTCCCTCCCTTCCCTCCCCTCACCCTGACCATTTACCCCCTGCTCGGGTCATGACCCAACTGTGCAGTGCCTTGGGACGTCCTCCTGACGTGAAAGGCGCTTTATAAATGGAATCTTGTTGTTGTTGTTGTGTTTGTTGTCTTCACTTTTATAATCACTGGGTGCGAGAGGTTGAGTTCACCCGTCACCAGAGATGTTGAGATAAGATGTTTAAGATCAGTTCAAACAGAAGAACCTTGTAGCTGAGCTGAAAATCATTAGCACAACTACTGGTCTCAGTGATCAGTGGTACATGATGAAAAGACAGCATCAATGGAAATGCATCATTTATTGATCTCATTAGAACTAAGGCCCACCCAGCCAGATGTTAAAGATGTTGAACAGACACATAGAATGAAAGTAGGGATGAATATTGAACTGGAACTAATCCCATAGAGGGCAGAATGTAAGTTATGAAGATATAGAAGGGAGGGGTCACCTTCTGGCAGGTCTCACTTCCCTGTTGCCTTCATCTCAAGACATGGCTGGACCACCTCCAAGTTTATTTGACTCTGATTCGGATTAATCAATGAACACGATGTGTTGAGAGAAAAGGAGTAATTTGACAACCAGCAGGTGAAACAACACATTGCAGTGGCACTGCTTTGCCTCCTGAGTCAGAGCAGAGATCCTCACATTTCAAACAACTGCATACTCTTCCTCAGGGATCAGTTACTTTCCTGACTTGATGCATATATGTTTCTATTCTGCACTATCACTACACTTACAGCCATTCCCGCATAGCTGTAGCATCTGCGCTGCCTGTGTCGGAAGGAAGCACGTAGGTGAGAGAGAACAGAAGAGAGACCACAAGAAAAGGAAGCAGAGAGTATGAAAGAGAGCTCAATATAGTATAATTTACATTCATATAGAACATTTCACCTCTGTAGGATGTCTCAAAGAGCTTAAAACTGATGGCTGTTTCATGACCAGGCAATAAAAATCTTTTGGTGCCAACCAGTATATGACTGGTTCCTTCTTTCTGCAAATCACCTGGGTTAAGATGTGGTATCACATTTAAACAGCTGTAATCATACCATTCAATACAGGAGACAGACTCGATTTACTGCTCGAGATGACTAAATTACTGATGGAGTTATAGTATTTCCCCATCCTTAAAGACAATGACACACACCAATTTGAACTCTGTATTTGCCAACCACAGATGAGCAGTCTAATATAATACAATACAAACTTATATTTATATAGCACCTTTCACATCAGGAGGATGTTCCAAAGCACAGGAAATACACTAACATTAGGAAAATAATGCTAAATTTGGCTCAAATAGAAGATGGCTGAATGTGTGTTGGAGAATTTGACAGGTCTGTGCATGACTCCTGAGCTCTATGTGAGAAGAGCTTCTTTTCTCACATTTTGGCACAATTGGACCATTTCAAATTAAATGCTTCTGTCCTAAAAGAGGCATCAGCTTTGGGCTGATACTGGCCTGACCATTATTTCACCTGGGAGTGTTGCAGCCAGCAGGGATGATTTGTTTATATCTCTTCAGCTTGACTAGTTTGAAGGTCAGGTGAATGTGGTATGAGGACTATGTTGCCTTGATCGCTTGTATTCTGCTTTTTATGATTTGCTGAAAGTAAGCAAAATATTGCTTTAATAACAAGCAGATGGACTTTTACAGCTTTGAACAGCTTTTATTCTTTTCACCAAAGAACTCATGCTGGATGTTACAACTGATATTTCGAGTAATGCAAGAATTGTTCACTTATTGAACCTGTGTGTTTACAATAATTGGATTATGAATAAAGTGTTATGCTTATTCTGCAGGAAAGAACAGTGACAATCAGACGACAAACAATTGGTGGATTTGGTCTAAGTATAAAGGTGCTCAATACTTTTGACTGTATATTGTTGGTACATTTTTGAAGCTCAATGGAAAACTACAATGGGGGTGAAATTGTGGAATTCATAGTCAAGAAAAGAAGTGTGATAAGAGGTCAAAAACAAAACACTGGCCTCAAAATGGTCTTTTCGTGAATCAAATCATGATTCTTTTTTTCAAGCAGATTTGGTCGTGAATTCCTATCAATTTCAATTACATTTTGGAAGTACATGTTGCTTCCAGTTGACAATACCACACTTTCAACCCATAAGATTACGCAAAGCATGTTTTTAATGAAGGAAAGAAAGGTGTTGTATCTGAATTTTGAACAGTTTTGGAAGCACATGGCTTCTTTGCATAGTTATATAAATTGCTGTCGTGGTATACCCCATTAAGAAAAACATTGATTTATATTCATTTTGAGCTGTTTAGTGTCATCAATACATTGGCACAAACCTGAAGGAACACACAGTTATTCATGGTGTGCTGAATGTTGCTTGCAATTGGTGTGCAAAACTGCCTACACCTCAATTAGTCCATTTCTTCTGTTAAAAAAAGGTTAAAAAATGGCATTCACTCCAATTGTCCTGTATAAAATCTGCCAGCTCCAGCTCCCACAATATAACATACAAGTATAGCTCTAGCAGGACCCTGGATATCATTGAGGCAACCTTCTAAACGCTCTACAAATTACACTAAGAAATGTTTTTATGGACAAAATTGATGTAAAACATAAGCACAATGCTACACATTTGATCTTATGAAAGTCAACCAATTTACAGAACTCGTGGATGAGAACATTCTATTCTCTGCTGGTCTGTAAATTTACCGACCTTGGCTGTGTGAGCTTATAATGGGATTTTCCCCATCATAAACATGCAATGCCAACCTCTGTAAATTTACAGACCAGCAGAGAATTGTCCTTCTTGTGCTTTACTGACAAACATAATTATCATAATAAATGTCTCAAAGTGCTTCACAATTTGTCAGTGAACTGTATTTATAGACAAACGCCATAGCCAATTTGCCCATAGCAGTGACACACAAACAACCATGTAGTGAATGACCAATTTTATTTGGGGATTGTTGGCCAGGATACTGGAATAAATTACATTCTCTTTTTGGCTAATGTCATGAGATTTTCAATGTCCACCTGAACAGGCAGAGAAGGGCTCAGTTTAACCTTTCATCTGAAGAATTGTGACAATTAGCTGATATGTAAACACATTTAGACTTGTTATTGTAAAACTCCTTTGTATTATACTATTTATATTACAGATTTCTGTGCTCCTAATCACAAAGAAAGGGGTATTTATGCAGTTAAAAATTGGAAACTGGCTTAATTCACAAGCTTGATCTGGATGAAGAAGACCCTTTAGCCCATCTGGTCCCATCCCTCTAGAACACCCACTCTACCATCATCCTATCACTGCATCAAGCTGCTTTTTAAATGAGTCTTGTGTCCTGGTCTCTACCACCTTTCCTGGAAACCTGTTCCAGTTGTTGATTTTTTTTCTCAGTGCATGTCTGACACATGTGGAAACCCATTCTAAAAATATCCAAACAAAACAGAGTTCAGATCTACTTGGAGGGATGCATCCTTCTTACCTAATTCTGTAGCTCAGTGGTTAGAGCACTCGCTTTGAAAGCGAGAGACCTGAGTTCAATTCCAAGCAGGTCAGGGTGAAACCTTGGGCAAGTTTCCTCACTCCACACGCCTAATAATAATCCCTCCAAAACAAAAAAACAATAATAAATTGGTCATTTTCAATCCACGACTGTTTGTGGGACATTGCTGTGCGCAATTGGCTGCCGTGTTTGCCCACAAATATACAGTCAATTCACTTTACAGTGTGTTCTGTGAAGCGCTTTGGGACGTCCTCCCGACGTGAAAAGCGCTATATCAAATGCAAGGATTATTATTTATTATTATTATTAGGCACAGATTGGCAAGAGCCAAGTCTTGGAGACACCAAAGAATGCGTTGGAGTGCTGCTGGAGTCAAACTAGCTAAAACTGCAGTTTGTTATTGAAAGCACTGTCTGACAAGCTTTCCCATTACTTGTCCAGCTATAACTACCCTACCTGTTAGGGCTTTGTCTTGCGGGTTAACAGGAGCTGAGTGGGAAGACTATCTGTCCCCAGTGACTGGCTTGCCTTTCCAAGTCCTGCTGATGAGTCAGTCATTTATTACCCTCTGCCTATGAATCAGCTTACAAAACTGCACCTCAGCACAAGTTGGCAACTTCAGGAAAGAAACTGTGAAATGAATTTTCTTTCAAAAACTGTTTGAAATTATTTATTTGAAGTTGAATTAAATTGGAACCCTCTGAACCAACACTGAAATGCATGGTATCTCACAGCGTTGATTCACCGACACTGCCTATCAGCTCAATGGATGCATTAAGTGGATTTGAGCACAGCCATTTGATCAAAGTCAGAGTGGAGTGCGGTTGGGGGTTAATCCACATTCATCCATAGACTGAAATATCCTTCCATCAGCAGGAGTGAAATGTCCCACAATGTGTCCATTTCTGTATGACCTTACAAACCGCATTCCCCATCTTTGTATCCTGAAATCTGTTCTTGCTTTTCCTAGAAACGCATCCAGGGACCTCTTGAACCCACAAATCATACCTACCTCAATAGCCGTGCCTGATTATAATATTGACCAAATAGTTTGTTCTTCTGTGCAGCAATCCTGCATTAATTCTATCTGACCACATGTAAAGAGTAAAGAGACGTCTGTGTTTATCAGTTTGTTGAAAGCATTGCATTGGTATGTTATAACTTTATCTTTCTTCCATTTTTTAGGGTGGTGCTGAACACAATATTCCTGTTATTATATCCAAAATCTCTAAAGAGCAAAGAGGTATGTTCTTCATTGTACATTTTTTAAATGGTTCAAATGCCCATGTGAAATAGTTTGACATAGGATTTTTTTTCTTCTGTATTATTTGCAAAGCTGACCTATTGGGCCTGCTGTTCATTGGAGATGCTATCCTACAGGTGAGCATGCTCTAATACTATGTTAATGCAGACAATTGTGTGAACAGATGATCAAAATGAATTCAAGTTTGTCAGTGAATTCTTTCTCTTTTCCTGCTTTCTCTGATCATCAGATAAATGGAATAAACGTTAGGTCCTGCAAGCATGAAGAAGTGGTAAGTACAATATATATTGTTGACGCTTGTGGATCAGCCTGGCTCAGTTGATGGCATTCTCGCCTCTGAATCAGAAGGTTGTGGGTTCAAGTCCCATGTCAGGACTTTGAATTTACATGGTCTAACTGACATTCCAGTGCAGTGCTAAATGTGTGCTGTATTGTTGAAGTTGCTGTTCTTTAGATGAGATGTTAAACCGAGGTCCCCTCTGCCTGTTTAGGTAGTCAAGAAAGATCCCATGGCATCACTCAAGAAGAGAAAGAAGTTTTGCCTGGTTGTCCTGGCTGACATTCCCCCAGTTAAAATTGGTCATTCACTTCATGGCTAAATCATGAGACATTGTGGTGCCACAAATTGGCTGCCATGTTTACATACAAAATGCACAGTCACCAGATGTTTTAATATATCCTGTGAAGCACTTTGAGATGTCCTCCCGACATGAAAGGGAGGGTGGAATGACATTCAGACTGAAAATCAGTTAATCATTATTTTCAGAAGTATCACTTAACAGATTCAATGTAAGGAAACATCACATTTTCACCCCAATATTAACTTGCAAAATTGCAAAATGTATCCCAAAATGTTTCACAATAAGAAAAAAATAACATTGATTATACTTTAAGGTTGATTTTGGAGTCCTCAAGATAACCTGTTGACTAAAAATACATGGTTGCTTTTCCTTCAACTTTGATTGTTCAGGAAAAAGTTTCTTCAGAAGGTCCTTGAGAATTAATTTATTTTGTGTTTGCTTTAAAATTAATTAATTTTTTTATCAAGGTCCTGAGATGCACCAATATTGAGATTTTTAATCTATACTAATAAAGACGAAGTGTCTGTCTGTGTATCTATGTATCCGGCATTCACGCAATAACCGATTGCTGCAGAGACCTGATTTATATCTCATCGGAAAGGTCTTGCATCTGGCAGTGCCATGGGTATATTTTTTTGGGGGGGATCTCCTATCGTTGCCGAGCTATATTAAAAAATGCTTTAATTAAGCCCAAAATATGAGGTATAAATCGTATTCTGCAATTATACAGAGGAAAGCACACACCATTCGGAGAGATACATCTACATGCTGCAACAAATGTATGACACTCTTTTTCTGAGAGAGAGAGAGACTGGGAGAAACACTGAAAGGGAGAGGGACTGAGAGAGAGAACGAGAGAGACTAAGAGAGCGAGAGAGAGAGTAAGAGAGAGAGAGACTGAGGGCGAGAGAGACAGAGCGACTGAGAGAGAGAGAGAACTGAGACAGAGTGACTGTGAGAGACTGTGAAGAAAAATATTAAAGGAGTCCTCCCACATGAGTCCTCCCAGCTGAGTATAGATAAAGACAAAATGTCTGTCTGAGTGCCTGTCTGTGTGTCAATCTACATTCCATATTGGATTCTTTGGGTGCAAGCGAATCTGCAACGGTTAAATCTAGTAACAAATAAATAGGCGTTTCATTCTCCTGGGCTCTGTGCATGAAAAAAATCTCACGTGCAATTCAATATAACACTAGCAGACTCGAATAAGATTCTTAGCAGGTCATTGGAATCCTTGAGAAATAGAACAATTGGTACCAAAGCTATTTGACACATCGCCATAATGGCAACACCACTACTATGGCTGAAAAGCAAGAACTTAATTGTAGGCAATATATAATCTTCCATCCTATATTGTCCCACTTCATCCACATTTGATGGAGCGGGCTTCTGTGTTTCTATGTTCCAGCGGTCTGTGACATTTAATGGAGAGTTGTTTGTACAGATCTCAAAGAAAAGGGGTCAAGTCACCGGGCTCGGTGCATTCCCACGTACTATTTCCAATGTAAAATTTAGAATCTGCAACTCTGTGCACATCAAAACCCCAGCTGCTGGCACAGCTTCTGAGTTTCTGAGTGAGAACGTTATGGGTATTGGTATTTTTAACTCATCTAGTCACAACTGACACTTTTATTACGTTGCTGGAGGTGTGCTGCGTTGTTGCAGGTTCCTTCGTTTGGATGAAACATTAAACTTTCTCAGCATTGATGTCCATGAATCCCATGCGGTTTTCTTTGTTGGCTTTACACTGAGTTTTTTNGAGTAAGTTGCTAATTGGAAGTGAAAGCCCACAATCTATGAAATCGTTGATCGTCGTACTTGTCACTCCCACTTTTCTGAGCTTCAGATCCAGGATATAAGCAGTCTCTCCAATGCATCACTGACCAATGCAGATGCTGCAACCTTCATTCTCAGTGAATGGCTCTGAACTGGTTAGTGAGCTCAGTTGTGGAGGTGAAGGTAATGAATGCAGTGCAGATGGATGAATGAGTGACTGAGAGTGAGGCATCAATACACTAGACTTTACCAACCAGACCAGTGCAAGATTGTCTGCGGAGAGAGAACAAAGTAAATATCAATAAAGTACGACAGAGATGGACTCAAATTGCTTATGTCTTGCTACTGAAAGATGGATAATGGGGTTGATCTCACTACAAATAAACCCACCGTTTACCTCTCTGTGTCATGATTATAGCTCTTAGAATACTGGATTGAAAACTATGGAATGAATTGTCACTTTTCATCCCAGATTTATAGAAAACATCCCCACTACATTAATTCTGTGTTACAAAACTAATGGCCCTGTTCATGCTACTGGAAACTTGAAGCTCAAGGAACAACTGAGGGGCAAGCAAGCAGACTTTGTTCCGAAATGAATTGCATAGCCGTTTTTTTCGGACACTTGAAGGATTCGTGTAATGCATTGATGTCTTAAGCAGCATTGATGACAGAGATTGTCTGATAGAATTAGATTCTTTGTAGAGTTCATGCTGGCTCAATGTGATTTTTGTGCCAATCTGTCACAAGCTCTGAGATTTGGCTTTTACAAGTCCTCTTAAGAGAAGCAGTAGGAGACCACCACACAGAAATAGTCTTGCAGCACTCAGACGTTGGTTGTAATGGAGTTGCAGCAATGTTTTTACAAACTTAGAGCTGAGATTAGACTGCCAGCTTTCAAATCTTTCAATCTGCTTCAGGAAACCCCCAGCCTTTCTATGTTGATTTGGGAAATGCTAGCTTTAAAAGATGAGTTAATAATAATCTTTGCATTTGATATAGTGCCTTATCATGTCTTCAAGACATCTCAAAGAGCTTCACAGAATATACTGTAAAGTGAATTGACTGTATATTTTGTGGGCAAAATGCAGCAGCCAATTGCACACAGCAGTGTCCCACAAACAGTTGTGGATTGAGTGATCAATTTTTTTTTGAAGAAATTATTACCCCGGAAAAGCTATCTGCCAATTGACTAAGAACCGGGATAAGGAAACGTGCACAATGTTTCGCTCTGCTGGGAATCAAAGCTAGGTCCTCTCGCTTGCAAGGCGACTGCTCTAACCACTGAGCTACAGGACTCTTGTATTAAGCCTGTATTCCCCAAAACAGGGTGTTGTTAGTTGGCGTCAGCCTGGCTTGGTTCCTTGCACTATCACCTCTGAGTCAGAAGGTTGTGCGTTCACGCCCCATATCAGCAAATAGTCCAGGCTGGCCCTTAAGTGTATTACTGTGGAGTGCTATGTTGTTAAAAATACTGCCCTTTGAATGAAACATTAAACCAAGGTCCTATCTGCCTGTTCAGGTGAATGTTAAAGATCACATGTGTGAAAATTGACTGCCACATTCACCTACGAATACACAATCTCTGCACTTTACTCTAATGATAGTAAGTACTCTTGCATTTCGGATAATGCCTTTTTCTTGGTCAGGACATCTCAAAGTGATTCACAGGATTTACAGTGACTGCAGGCAAACGTGGCAGTCCACTTGTGCACTACGGTGTCCCACAAACAACTTTGAAATGAATGAACAATTTTATTTGGGGGAGTGTTGGTCAGGACACTGGAGAAACTCTCTTCTTTTGATTAATGCCACAGGATATTTAATGTCCACCTGAGATTGAGAGTTACAATGACCTAGCAAGGTATTATATCAAATGCAAAGTGATCTGCCAAACCAGAAGTTGTTCCATTTCTTGCACATTGCTTGTGTGCAATGTGAAACATTGGATCCAAATGACCACATTATAATAGGTTTCCACTGTATTTATTGCAAAGTGTCACAGTTTTACCAAAGTTTATATGCAGCAGATTATGCCTTTGATCAATGCTATATAGCTTTCATATGGTAGGGAAACACAATAAGTCATAAACATTGTGTAGTTAGTTCACTGTCTCTCTGATGTCTCAGTTCATAAAGCTGTTGTCTGGAGTGAAAATGATCCATTCAGCGTCTCTAAGAGTAAGGCACCTGCAAAACTGCAACTGAAGATCTATTATAACCATTTATTTCTAGTTCCAGGTTCGATCTATCATCTGAGCTGACTGTAACTCATCTCAGCTGGGTCTGACAATTGACCACAGCATAATTATAATGGGGAGCTGTAAATGTAACAGTGTTCGTCCTTCTGATTGCTATTCAGTGACCCCTGGTGCAAAGTAATGACATCAGGTAGGGCAAGATCATGCTTGGCTATGATGGCCCTAAGATTAATAGCACAAAATAACTCATTGTCTGGGTTTCACATGGAGAACGGCCACTTGACTGAGGAATTGGATGGTGGCTGCCATTGCTGGAAAAGCACTCCAACAAGGATCTGAGTGCTTAGCAGGGGGGGAGAGAAAAGAAGGGAAAACCATATTTATATATCATTCAGTAAAAATAACGTGCAGATAATGATATCAATGTAAAAGTTATTATTTATTTATTTATTTATTTATTTATTTATGGGTTACGACCTCCTGTGTGGTAAGCCATTTCAAGATGCCTTCCTGACATTTGATCTTCCTGGTGACAAAAGCACTAAATATTCCAGCTCTTGAAAGGCATTGTGCTGTACCATAACGACAATGTTACATCAATGCTTCCTTTACACACAAGGTTTCCGGCAATACACTCCATTCATTCATTACCTGCAATTTGTATTCCTGCAAATGATGCCATCCCTCATTGTGACACAGCATTTATGGGCGGTATTACAGCGAGGCACTTAGCATGTTGATCACCTGACTGCAAAACATGAAATACAACACGAAAATGCAGAAGGCAATGCCCAGAAGTCTTTAAAGAGAAAGTATTATAATAATAATCCTTACATTTGCTAGTTTGATATAGTGCTTTATCACATTTTCAAGATGTTTTAAAGTGCTTCACAGAACATACTGTAAAGTAAATTGACTGTATAATTTGTGGGCAAAAGTTTAAAAGGTGGAGGGAGAAATAATCGTGTTTCATAAAGCCCTTCTTTTCTATCTCCCATACACAAACAGTTAAGTGGAATGCTTGAAAGCATATCAGCCTGTAAAGCCAACTGAGGCAAAAAAAAATTTTAATTGTTTGATTTCATTTTTTACTGGAGGTCAAGAACGTGGAGGTGGAACAAAGGAACATATGAATACAGGAACAAGAAGAGGCCATTCAGCCCATTGAACCTGTTTGAGCAGTTTATTAGATCTTAGTAGATCTTAGTAGATTGCCCTTTTACCAAACCCCTTAATACCTTAATACCTTAATAATAAAGTGATTTCCAGCTGCAATGAAATATTGTATAACATTTTGGGCAAACAAACAAATAAATAATCCTTGCATTTGTATATAGCACCTTTCACATCAATAAGACACCTCAAAGTGTTTTACAGAGTGACTGTATTTTGAAGGTGAAATCTTCAAGATGGTCACTGCTCTGGTTGATTGTTTCACTCTTCTGGGTATCCTGGGATTAAACTAGAGCTTCTTCTGATTAACCCACAGGTTCAAGTGCTGCGTAATGCTGGTGAAGAAGTGACTCTTACGGTTTCTTTTTTAAAGCGAGCGCCTGCTTTCCTGAAACTCCCCCTCTATGAAGACTGCACATGTGAGCACAATAACCTCTTTTAGTGTAAATAATGCAGGTGCTTGCCGTGATACCCACTTCCATTCCATTTTGCTGAAATGAAGCTAGAATCTCTGGTTTCTCATGCAGAAAGAATCTGTGAAATTTTGCGATGTGATGTGTAAAATAAATAGCATCTATGGTGCTAATTAATATCAAGAATGAATTTAGTGATCTTATGAAATTTAGTCCATCGACTGGTCCCTGGGTATGCTGGTAATAGAAACAGAGATACTTGGAGGTGGAACTGGAACGTAACACAACTAATCCATATTTTTCTATTAGAATATTAGATACCAATTTTCCCCAGTTAAGGTAAAATTTCATTGCAGCATATTACAATGGAAAATCCAATTAGTGGCTGACATTATCAAAGCCATTGCAAATATTATTCAAAGGTTTGTATAGTTATTGACTTTGTTGACCATTGAGATGTCACAATCTCCTGAACAAAGCTATTTGCACTGATAACACATCAGTGTCTGAACTTCCATATATATCATTGAGTGATCTTACTTCTCTCAATGTTTATGCTCTGACTTTATTCCAGATGGATTGAAGTTTTGTATCTGTTTGGATTAATTTGCTTTTCTCATAATAGCCCTCAGGAAAATAAACTACACGCAGGCTCACATTGGTCTGGCAGAAAGACCATGATTAATTGTGTTATAATCTCCTGCAATACTTCATGATTAATATATAGAAAGAAGATGATCATACACTCATTGACCACAACAGTTTTTTGTGCTGCGGGGATCCATGTGTGGAAATTTCCCAGCCTGAGCCAAATAATGGAGATGTAGGGATCAATATTGTGAACTTTCTCTAGCTGTACCATTATGGATCAAGGTGTTCTAAAGCCTCAGGAGATAAAAACACATAGGAAAAAAATACAATAAAGTAAATTGTAAATGGTCGGTGTATTTTATGGGATGGATGGCCTTTTTGCATTCTGTACATCCTGATGTTCTTCTATAGAGATGCTGATATGTTGCACAATGATCAATCATTGCATTGATTTTATTGCATGCAGAACACAAATTATTGGTAGTGAATCTGACAGCGTAGTAACGTTTTTTCTGTTTCCCTGTAGGTGTCCCGAGTGATCAGAGCAGCGGCACATCTTCACCACTTTGTGACAGTGGATTGCACCTTAACTACCATCCCAACAACACAGTAAGAGTTTTATTTTCAATTTGAAACTGTGCCTTATGCTGCATGTATGGATGCGATTTTCCAGCCAACAAACAGTACAAATGGAAGTTGAAACAACACAAATTGCACAGGAGTAGCCTGGAGGAGGTGATTTTGGCAGCAGTTCAATTCTCAGATTAATTGCTATATGATTGCATTGGTTGTAATCCCCCAGTCTTCTTTATCAAAACTCCCAGGATGCTCAAACACACTGACTCTTACTGCTATAAAATAAGTGGTCCCGTAAATAAAGGAACATTAGTGGAGAATAAATGGTGTGAATCATACAGACAAGGTGAAGCTAACTGCAGTAGAGTTCCATTAAACATCCTTGTTTACAATGCTGGTCCATTTATAATGCCATTGTAGTTTACTTTCCCCTAAAAATGATTGTCAGGGAACCAGTAGCGCTTCATAAACTGGTTGGTGTGAGCACTAGGTGCAGGAAGTGTTCCTCATGTCTAATTTGGCATGCTGCACATTTGTACTATGTGCAGGAAATGCTGCTGACACCATTCACTTCAAGACACGATCACCCAGCAATCACCTATATTTTCCCACCTCACTTATAATATGCCACAAAGAAATTGGACCCGGTCTACAGCATTAGAAAGGGGTTTCCCTGCATGAAGAAGTCATAAATGTAGCTGCCATATTACCAAGATTAGGGTTTCAGTTTATGTCAGATGGTGGTTGAGGCAGGATCCTTATTCCTCTGAATATTATCGACAGACGAAGGTTCATTCTCAAGGCTGATCTTGACTTTCCCCTTTTGGAAAACAAATGATATTAATTTTAACAACAACAAAATGACATTTATAGAGCGCCTTTCACGTCAGAAGGACGTCCTAGAGCCCTGAGTAGTCAGGTGTCAGGGCCCGAGCATGGGGGAGGGATGGTGTAGGGGTGAGGGAAGGCAGAGAGGTGGGAGGGAGACCAAAGGCATGATTGAAGAGAAGGGTCTTGAGACCGGCCTTGAAGAAGGCAAGGGAGGAAGCGAGGTGAAGGGACCGTGGGATGGAGTTCCAGAGTGTGGCGGCAGAGAAGTTGAAAGCCAGGTCACCTATGGTAGGGTGGGTTGGGCGGGAGACATGGAGCAGACTGGAGCTTGATGAGCGTAGAGAGTGGGCAGGTTGGTAGGGAGTCAGCGGGTCAGAGAGGTAGGAGGGGGCAAGGCCATGGATGGCCTTGAAAGTGAGGACGAGGATCTTGAACTCGATCCTCTGGGGGATGGGGAGCCATATATTAAGTGATATATTTCAGCAACAACCACAGCAGCCACTTTACAAGGAGCTCAATTACGCTTGGATTTTGGTACGACTCTCCTCCAACTTTAAGTAACATTGTGTGTGATTGTAACTTATTTAAAAGCCTTCTTGCTAGAACTTTGCTTCCTTTAATTCATCAGGCTGTTGGAACTTTTTCTTCACGTATCTTTACGATGTTACCTCTGCTTAGCTCTCTCCTCCTCTGCTTAGCCCTCTCTCCCCATCATAAGCCTTTTAAGATCAGGATCTCAGCCGTGCAGTGGAAACTGATCCCAGATGTATTCTTTAACTTCTACCTGAACAGGCAGACAGGACCTCAGTTTAATGTCTCAACTGAAGGACATCATTTCCAACAATGCAGCGATCCTCCAGTACTGCATTGGAGTGCCAGTTTAGACAATATGATGTCCAAGCCCTGACATGGGGCTTGAACCCCCAACCTTCTGACTGGTCTATCGCTCTGATGTCATGTTTGTTTTTCGCCAAGGATCAAAGTCAATTACTCACAATGAAGACAGATGATTGATCCCTTCTATTAGTTAGTTCCTTTCAGCTGGCACCCAATACATTGATAGCAGAAAATTTAAACACAAATACTGTAATTGGGCTTCACTTCAGTGGGAAACAGCTGTCCTCAAAGAAATGTCAGAGGCAAACCATTTATAATAAAATAACTGGTCGCTGTGTTTGCATTAACTGATATAAGGCATTTTTATGGAGTTTGATTTACAGAGAATTGTGATAATTTGTATTAATTTACCTTGAGAGGAAAATTACATGTATATTACATGGACCTGTAGATAAAAACGTAATGTAAAAAATGACAAGAAATCTCAAGAGAAACTGACATTAAGTAGAATCTGAAACTATTTTAGATCAACACCATTTATGAATTATATTCTGATGGTTGCATTTATATGCTGTATTAAAGCCAATGGCAGAAATACCTTGCATTAACAGAAAGATTAAGTTATATTTATTGTAAACATGATATAACCTTGTAGAAGAGTGCTGGCCAGCCCATGGCTAGGTGAGTTATGGCATAAATCAAGAAATATTCAATCAAGAAAATCAACCAAAAAGGTTAGCAACCACCATTCTAGGGGAAACCAAACTGCCCGCTCCCTCTGTTCAGTGGGCTCCGGTCTGCTCCATGTCTCCCGCCCGACCCACCCTACCATCGGTGGCTGGGCTTTCAGCCTCTCTGCCCCTAAACGCTGGAATTCCATCCCACAGTCCCTTCGCATCGCTTCCTCCCTTGCCTCCTTCAAGACCGGTCTCAAGACCCTTTCTCTTTGATCGTGCCTTCCCTCACCCTTACTCCACCCCTCCCCCATGCTCGGGTTCCGACCTCTGACTGTCCAGCGCTTTGGGAGGTCCTCCTGAACTGGGAGAAGCTCACTGGTTAGATTGGGATCTGTGATTTCTAAAAGATGACAAAGTGCGACTCAACAAAATGTCTAGACAGTGAAAAGCCAGACACTGGGGAGATTGTATTCCCCTCCCCTGGCTTTTTCATTTTTAACATTTTCTCATTTTTCGGAAAAATCTAGATTTTGTTTCTCACCCGTTTAGCAACTATTACATTTTCGTCCCTATTGTCAGTAATGCATGCACTGCTACCGTTACATAAACAAAGACAAGAATGATTATCTGAAAACAACTGCTGAAATACCTGATGATGATTTGCCATATAATTGTCCCGTTCATTAAAAATACATCACTGTCTTATAATGGAGATTAAGAGCAATTGCTCTTGCTTAACGTTCTTTTTGTAGTGAAACTGAAAGGACTTTCTGTTCCAAGGAACACAAGTTACTGGCACCAGAACATCAACGTGATTGGATTTGAGCCACAGACTCTTTTCAATTTCCTTTGTTTCTTTTGTAGCCAGAAACACCCGGCAACTAAATTCATATGGTGGAAACAAACCATCCATTGTGATTGTTGCATACACTTTAAGTTCATTAAAAAATTGCAAGGATAATATTGATGTATGCAATAACCTGCATTCATAGACTGAGTCCAAGATATTTATAATTGCGGACATTTCCAAACTAGAATGAAATCAGAGGAGGCAGCCAAGAACTGGTGTGATTACTGGCAAAGGAAGTTCATTACAGATAAATGAATGGTACTGCACATAGAAAATAAAAGCTGAAGTAAAAGTCCTATTCATGGTGAGATAGAACTTGCTGGGGGAGCAGTAAGAAAACTTAAAGAGGTGCTAGTGTGAATGATAAATAGCGTGATGGGCATATTGCAAAATCACCAGTAATCTTGCTCAAGTTGTAGTCGTAGTTCAAGTCATGCTCAAGTTACGCTTGTGACATCCTTCTGACATGGCAGGTACTATATAAACACAATTTGTTGTGGTTTGTTCTCAGTGGGGAGGCCATTCTGAGTTTATTCAGGGAAGACTAACATAGATTGTTTGGTGCCAGTTTCTCCCACAATATGCTTGGAAAGGCCATTTTAAAACTGGAAAATGTTCCAGGCTGAGAGGGCGTTCGAAGATGGCAGGGCCCAGGGCTTTTTAGCGGGGTTTTGACATTACTAATAGTCAGAAGTTGGTGGGAAAGGGAATGCAAAGCATATCTAAGCATCATTTCTTAGATAAAGAATTGAGGGATGTGATTAGGAAGAATTATTTTTCTATATTTCTTATTTAATCAAGAAAACAAAAGTCTTCACTGACTGAATGGTGAATGCTTTAAATGATCTACGAAGCAAAGTGACTAATACAAAAAGAGTTATTCAAAATATATTAAACAATACATATAATAATAAAAATATACCACGATTGGTGAGTTTGTGGAGCAGAGGCAGGATTTGTATTCATTGTATACTCCTCTTACATCTCCAAGTGTACTAGAGTATTTCTGATGGATCTCAAATGTTGCATCATGCCCTGTTTATGTGTCGGACGAAACATTTTTTTTATTACATTGCTGAAGTGCACTGAAATGTAATGGATTCCACACTGATTTCTTTGTCAGTTTAAAATAGTATTGCTTTTAGGGCATGACAATCTATTATCAGAATTGACACCCAACCAATATATTTCTTCCCTCAATGTGCATCAAAGTACAGTATGAGTGGAATATGTTATGAACAAGTTGGTTCCCTAGAGCTGGATTGTTATACCTCAGTGAGTTTCATTTGATGTGCTTCAATGTAACAAAAGTCAAGGATTCGCTACAAACATTGCAGTGAAACATGAATCACGTTATGATTGCTGGTCTGTAGAGATTTTAGTAGTTTTTTGTTATGGATGGTATGGGGATCGCTCGTAAGAAGAATGACCACAAATTTTAGCCTTAAAACCATTTTCTTAAAATTTAAGACTTTGTTGAAATTTAAAAAATCATTGGGTTCCAGTTTTAATTTGGAGACCAGTTTAAAGAATTGCAAACAACTGGCTACCAAATTAAAGAATTTAAGAATTTCCAAAATTATTGATCTCACAATCTTAAATTTTAAGGTGATGGTTCTTAAGGCAGTTTTTAAAAAAAAAATAACAGGCAATGTTATACCGGGACAAAATATGAAACTGCCGTGTCTGCTTGGGTTCACAAAATCACTAAAGCTTCAGATGAAGAAAGCCCTTCGACCTATCCAGAATACCGACTGTACCCTGCCTTCCCATCACATCATCAAGATGCTTTTTGAATAAGTCCAGTGTCGTGGCCTCAACAACTCTTGCTGCAACATATGTCTCTAAATCTAAGGCCTGAAATTTCATGTAGTTTATGTCTGTAAGATATTTTTGCCTTAAAATGTAAGATTGAGCAGAATTCTTAAATCTCGTCTTGATGTTCTCAAAAACTTTTTTTTTGACATCTCTACGGTTTGAGCATTGTAACGACATCTACAATGCTCAAACCATAGAGATGTCCAAAAAAATATTTAGAGTTTCGCCCACAAAATATACAGTCAATTCACTTTACAGTATATTCTGTGAAGCACTTTGAGACATCTTAAAGAAGTGATAAGGCGCTATATCAAATTGCAAGGATTATTATCTCAAAGTGCTTCACAGAATATACTGTATAGTGAATTGATTAGATATTTTGTGGACGAAACTCTAAATCTAAGATGTTTTATGCGTTTTACTGTGAAAAGTTGTTACTGTGTATTTGTAGGCGAATGCAGCAGACAACTTGCATACAGCAATGTCCCTCAAATAGCCATGAAGCCAGGTGGTGCTTAGCTCGCTATGTTCATAGTTTTAGCGTCTTGGTACGGTCATCCATATTTTATATCTTCACATTCTGTTACGAGTGTCCTCATTTATTTTTGTATTGTTGAGAGCTTCAGTAAGCCTGTGTGCTGTTGAAGGCTTGATGTTCATACTATTGGAAAGCTCGCATGCACAGTTATGCAGCTATCGTGTATAGATTTAAGAGCGATTTAAAGTCCATAGCCAGTATTTTAACTTAAAGGTAAATAACTTTTTGGTGACATCAGGTCTAGACTTGGCAACAATTTGGCGGGGAAAAGAGGATCGGGAGGATCCAGGGGGCCGAGCTACAGCGATACATTGTAAATTTGGCAAGGAAAAGCAACAGAAGATATTTCCCAAAGGGGGCATGGCTTACAGCCCATAAAAGCAGCGAGCACACGGAGCTCAAGGTAGCTGTTTACCTGATGACATTTACCTGTCTGACTGATACTGAGAAGTAGTCCTCTAGGTCAGGAATTGGTTTTTCATGCATTATTTCACTAACTCATTGTTGAGTGGCTGCGAGCTGGTGTTTAGTCAATTAGTGTTTGTTATTTCTTGGCGTCATTTTTATCCAATTTGTCGGGGAGTGTTTAAGTTATTAATGCCTAGGGTTGTTTGTTTCATGGAATATCAATAAAATTCCGTTGAGTTTCCTTGACCATGCTTTCTCGAGTCTCTGTGTTAAATCTGGAAGGAGGGGACACACATAAATAGGTTGAGCCTATGTCACAGTCTGCTCTTGCGATAGACTGCTGATGGAAGCTTCCCAATTCGCTGTATTTTAAACCGCAATTGTCAGTCCCTGTTGTCGTGGTAACTCTCACTGGTAACCTGCACTCAGAGAGAGGGATCAAACATAGAGGCCATTGAATGTACTCTGCGATGGTGGGTGAAATACACATTGCAGGCATATAAAATGGTTGAGAACCATTGCAGCCTTCAACAACAACAACTCGTAATTATATAGTGCCTTCCACACAGGGTAGCATCTCAGAGCGCTTAACAGTGGCAGAGTCTGACTGCGAGCCAGTGGGGGGAGGGGAGGGAGGTGATCGTAAGCACAGTCGTAAAGGAAGGTTTTTAGATGGGAATTGAAAAAGGGAGTGGGGGGGTGGGGGCGAAGCAAAGGGATTGAGGGAGAGTGTTCCAGAGTTTTGTGACGTAATGGCTGAATGTGCGACCTCCAAAGGTGGAGCAGAGGGTGCGAGGGTCAAACAGGAGGCCAGTGCCAATCGAGCGGAGGCACCGGGTGGTAGAGTGGGGAGTGAGGAGGTCGGAGAGGTAGTGAGTTGCCAGGGAGTGAAGGGATTTGAACACAAATGTGAGGATGTTGAAGTCGATCTTGAAATCGAGCATAGCCAGAACTGGCGAGATGTGTTTATGGAGTTTGGTCCGGGTCAGTATGCAGGCAACCGAGTTCTAAATGAGCTGGATTTTTTGAATTGCGGAGCTGGGGAGTAATGCATTTGAGTAATCCAGGTGGGTGGTAACAAATGCATGCACGAGGGTTTCGGCTACATCTGGGGTAAGGTACGGTCGGATGCAGACAATGTGTCGGAGATGGAGGATGGCGATCCTGGTCAGTGACCGGATGTGGAGAAGGAAGGACAGCTGGGCGTTGAACCAGATGCCTAGATTGCGCATTTCCTGTCCCTTTTATATTAAATTATAATTCCTGCCTTTGTATGAGTAACTACTTTGCTTCTCACATCCAGTTTAGATCCATCCCATCTCTTTTATGCCACCCTGGTTTACTCCAAAAATAGTCCAGTTACCGATAAATTTGCCCACAAAAACACTCAGTCACTACATTTTACAGTATATCCTGTAAAGAGCATTGATGACATGAACGGCACTATATCAAATGTAAGGAGGATTATTATTATTCAATCTAAAGACATTAGATTGTCACCAACTGGCTTCTATTTATGTACCCCATAATTCTACTCCTGAATGCTCTCCTGTTATCAAAGATTGGTATTAACCCAGAAAACAATTTTAAATCATTTCTTTCAATTTCCAGCCTAGATATTCTTTTTTGTCATTAATTCCAACATGTACAGCCAACTGTATCTTTCCCTCTGTGAACTGTAGATGACTGAATCTTTCCTGATTATTCTCAACCTTTGTCCTTGTAGACAAATCACTGACTTCCAGCCTTGGATTTACTACAGAAAGAGTACATATCTTCCCTTTAAACCTGGGGCTATCATTGCCATCCTTCTCTTGTTTGTACCATTACTCTATTCCTTTTTTAGCTTAAACTGTACTGTCTCTTAAATATCCTTCTCTCCTCCCTCAGTAACAGCTCCTGGATCCTGTCCGACAATTCTGTTCTTTACATTTCCTTTTCGCTTACCTTTTTCCTTGGTTCTTCCCTTGCCTGCCTCCTCCTCTGATCTCTTCTTGACTAACCTCCTAGGGTGAGAGAGATAAGCAGGCCTCAATGTGACTGCTTGGAAATGGAATGTCAGAATCAATTTAATGCTCTGCGACTATACTTTGCAGATTCACTTTGTTGTGTATTCTGGATTTAAGGTTCTCGTATTAATCCACTATTGCTATGTGTGAGAATATCATAGGAGGCCAGCTTCAATTTTCACACTTTCTTTGCTCCAATATATATCTCAAAAGACAATGTAATTGTGCCATGCTCTTATCACTTTGATATGTTGTTAGAAATGTTACATGAATAATAAGTTATTCAGAAGGAGTGTGAACCATTGAAATGTAACACAAACTGTCCTGTTTTTCAGGATTCATTATCTTGTTCTTCGTGGCCAACTTCCTCAGGCCTGAAGTGGGAGAAGCGGTGGTGTGATTTGAGGTTAATCCCACTTCTTCATTCTCGCCTGTCATACTATGTTCCAGGAACTGATATTTGCAGGTAAATTTTAAATCTGAACAATGTAGGTGATGGGGAGTGGCTCAGAATACTGGACAATATAAGAGTGGAAAGAGCAACAGAGAAAATAATAAAAAATAATAATAATCCTTGCATTTGATGTAATGCTTTTCACATCTTCTAAACGTCTCAAAACACTTCACAGAATATAGTTTAAAGTGAATTGACTGTATATTTGTGGGCAATTGCGCACAGCAGTTTCCCACAAACAATCGTGGATTGAGTGACCAAATTATTATTGTTCTTTTTTCTTGAGGAATCATTATCAGGCGTATGGAGTAAGGAAACTTGCCCAAGGTTTCACCCTGCCTGGAATCGAACCCAGGTCTCTCGCTTGCAAGGCGAGTGCTCTAACCACTGAGCTGCGGGACTCCACAAGATACCTCAAGAAATAACAATTAAATGGCAGTAATTTTCAAGCCCTGAGAATTGTGGGAAGGGGCTTGGAAGGCAGTATGCTAACAACAACAACACAATTACATTTGTATCGTGCCTTTCATGTTGGGAGGACGTCCCAAGGCACTGGATAGTGTAAAGCATTTCAGACTCGAGCTGGGGTCAGGGGGGAGAAGGGAGGGGAGGGGAAAGAGTGGCTGAAGGTTTTCCCGCTAATGGTGGGGTGGGTGGGTTGGGGGACGTGGAGCATGCTGGAGCCGGCTGAGTGGAGGGAGCGGGCGGGTTGGTAGGGAGTTACGTGGTCACAGAGATAGAGATAGAAATAGCTAAATTGCTATCTGAAATTAATGGCAATTAATTATTTAACATTTAAAATTAAATATTCATCTAATGTTTATGAACATTCAGAATTCGAAAGGAGTATGTATAACAATATAATAATTCCATCTTTCATATCGGGGGATGCCTCAAAGTGCTTTACAGGATTTACAGTGAAGTGAAGTCACTCTATTTTGTGCAGAACAATTTCCCACTAACAGCCATGAAGTGAATGATCTGGGCAGTATGGGCAGTAGTCATGCTACAAAATACTTATTGCCCTAGATTTGGAAATGGAAAATCATCTCAGTTAAATAATAATAATCCTTGCATTTGATATAGTGCCTTATCACATCTTTGGGGTGTCTCAAAGCGCTTCACAGAATATACTGTAAACTGAATTGAACTGAATTGTATATTTTGTTGGCGAAACATGGCAGCCAATTACACAAAGCTGTGTCTCACAAGCAGTGGTGGATTGAGTGATCAAATGTTATTTTTTTTTATTTTGAAAGAATCATTACCAAAAAGCGATATGCCAATTGATAAACAACCAGATAAATGGAGGTGTGTGGAGTAAGGAAACTTGCTCAACATTTCACCCTGTTGGGAATTGAACCCAGGTTCTCTCGCTTGCGAGGCGACTGCTCTAACCACTAAGCTACAGGACTCCACAGTTCCTGCTCCTGAACTAATGAATTCTGCTGGGGTTATGTGTTTTGGGTGTAAAGTAAGGGGCAAGGTTGGGCTCTTTGGATAAATCAAGCTCACTATCAAGACTGGCACATGACCACTTGGGAATGATTTTGAGGACAGCCAGAACACAGCTCTACAAAGGCTGGAGCATAATATTGGATGAAAGTATTTTTGCTCATACACTTCTTGTGACATTTCTTTAGGCAAACTGCCTTTCAAGTAATTGCTGTGGATGGTGTGTGCAGTGGCATAATTCAGTGCCTCACTGTTGAAGATTGTATAGACTGGCTACAAGCGATCGCAATTAATATATCCAATCTTACCAAGCACAATGTAAGTATGGCTGTGTGCTGCAGAAAACATTAAGGCATAGCTCAATTGCAGAGGTTTCTATATGAGATATTGTGAACTGTGATACTTGTCTATCAGAACCACAGGCATGTTCAAGCGTCTACAATTGCTAGTGGTTAAACGATAATAAGATTAATTGCTCCTTAAATTATTTTGAGACAATCGCAACATTATAAGTGCTTTGAGGTTGTTACTCTAAGTGACAGGAATGTGCTAAACATTAACTTAGCACTTAGCATGTAAATTAGACTGTTCATTGGAAACAATAGGGTAATTGTATCCTTCCAATTAATTTTGAATTCCGATACAGATCTGATTCTGCAATTATTTCCAGGAATTGTATGCACAGCATCTAATTGAAAAACAATGAAATGTGTTATGTCCTTTAAATTACTCCTCTAAGCAACTTATCTCTCTCCCCACATCACACACAAATACAAATGCTACTTATGTAAGGGTAGCCAGTAACCTGAGGGTAATTTGTCTATAGATTCCTTGTGTGAATGGCTTCATCTTGTATAAAAAGATCTGCTGAGTCTGAGCGAACCAATCTCTTAAAGATCTCTCTGCAGTCATATCACTTTGAAGAGTCCTAATCAGGTCCTATGCCTAAGCATAAAACTACCTCAAATAGGAACACATTTGGCTATTTTGCAATGACATGTCATAGTACTTGAAATTGTGCGAGCTAATATAGTAAGCAAAGTTCTTTTGAGACTGGAGTTGAGACTGGGGCTACATGACAATGCTCCTGTGCCACACTTGATTTGAACTTTGGGAGTTTGCTCAGAGGGTAGAAGTGTAAAAATGTTCAGTTTGTCAGAAAAAATTAGCTTTGATTTTATCATTACCATTGTTCCTACCAGAATCAGCGTTCTACATTTAACCTTTGGTGCTTGTAGTCAATTGATGCTTTATCACTTCAAGGAAGTTTGTAACATGTGAAGGATCTATTCATTTTCAATAAATTATTTTGCATTATTGCATTGACCACTATATTAATCCTGACCAGTCAGAAGTTACAGTGAACAGGTTGACAAAACATCATTAAATCTTTGGTACATGCTTCTCCCTCACTCTCTCTCAAAACCTTCACATTGCATTAAGTTATGTAAGGGTAGGAAGTGCAGAAATCTTACCAAAGGAAATATAAAATAAAAGTAATAATAATCCTTTCTTTCCATGTAATGCCTTATTATACAAAAATGTCTCAAAGGTTTCTATAAAGTGTAGTGATAGTTTATTTGTAGGAGAACATAACAGTGCACATAATTTGCACATAAGTGCCCCACACATCCATGAAGTGAATGACTTTTTTTTATAATTATTTTGAGGGATTATTGACCGGAATACAGGAAGAACCTCTTTTTTCGTACTTCCATGGAATATTCAATTTCCATCTAATCAGGCAGACAAGACCTCAGTTTAATATCTCTTCCAAAGAACAGCTCTCTCAGAACAGCACTCCCCAAGCACTGCACTGGAGTGCTAATCTGGACTATGAGCTCAATCATGATTTGCAGTTTGAACCTACAACCCTCTAACTCAGACATGTTAATAACTAAGTCAAGCAAATACACCCGTATAACATTACAAAAGCTCATTTCTTAAATAAGAGACCTGTTAAAAACTATGACAAAATAGAGGCTTCTATGAGATATATTACCTGGACATAGATGGATTTTGTTTTTGATGGAAGATTATATTTTCAGGGTTTATATTGTTTAATTGTATGAGGTAACTTTAATATTCACAATTTAACAGTTTTAATTCAATGTTATTTTTCCAGATTAAAAAAATTAACAGAAACTTCCCTGTAAACCAACAGGTAAGGAAAAACATTTGTAATAATTTCTTGTTGACGTGTTTAAGTATGTCAGTACGTGCACCAAACTGAGCCATTGACCATCAGAGGGCATAACTCAGGTTGTTAGAATATGTTTATAACTCGGAGGATTAATTTGGAAATTCCCTTATTTGATCTGCATTGGTAGTTCATCTCTGGCAAATATTTTAAGAATACAATTAAAATGATAAATTTACACAATCTACTAGAGTTTAGGTTTTTAAAGTTTGGACAGGATTATCACAAAGAGGAAAATCATTATATTATAGTAATAGAATTTTTGGCATTAATAATAATTAATTTCATGCCTGGAGGACAACCCAAAACAATTCACAGACATTAATGCAAAGTGTATAGATTGTGTAGTTGTAGGTAAACACGACAGCCAATTTGCCCACAGCAACCTCCCACAAAGAGCCATGAAGTGAATGAGTGAATGATCAGTTGAATTCATTATCTCAGTTAATTGGAGAACTAAGGGATACCATGATTCAGGTCTTTAAAGAGGTAACTAACTGCTGTGATTGCCTTGTAGTATGAGTATAGAAATAGAAGTCACTGTAGTGAAGAAAGAAATGAGAAGATATTTTTTCTCTCCCACTGAGTAATGAAATTGTGGAAGAAACATTAACAATTGATTTTTATATTCTTAAAATATTTTCAGTTCCAACTGCTTAATATTGATCTGCATATTATTAAAGCAAATTTCCCATTTAATATTAATATTGATGTACTGTCAGAAATTATATGAAAACGAATTATTTCCAAATGTACAGGTCCTGTGGATATGCAGTGTGGGCTATTTGTTATTGTTTTATGGGAGATAGTTATTTTAATTTGAAATCAAATTAAATTTCAAACAAAAGCAATGATGTACATATATTTACTGTGTAACATTTATCTTCCACACCATCAAAAAGAGCTCCAAAAACATTATCCTCTCTCAGCTGAGAAAGCACAATAAAGGCTATCATTTAGTCTGCAGCGATGTAGTACAACCAATAAATCGTTAATATGTCAGAACATCTCTATTTTACACTTCCCTCTGTCAAGTTTAATGGCTATTTTAAGTGCAAACAAGGCAGCCATTGTGTACTTCGCAATGGCCCACAAACAATCCTGAAGTGAGTGTCCCTACCCTTTGAAACTCCATCCCACAGTGTCTTCACCTTGCTCCCTTCCTTGCCTCCTTCAAGGCCTGTCTCAAGACCCTCCTCTTTGACCGCACCTTCAGTCACCCTCCTACCCCTACTCTCCCTGCCCTCCATCCCTCCTGATCCCAACACCCAGGTCTCATCCAAATCCCTGACTCCAAAGCCTTCAGACGTCCTCCCGACGTGAAAGGCGCTATACAAACGTAAGTTGTTGTTATTGCTGCGAGCAGCCAATTTATTCTGGAGAATTGTTAGCCAGGACGTCAGGAGAAATTCACTTCTCATTTTGAATAGCATCGTTGGATATTTAATATCCACCTGAACTAGCAAATGAGACCTTGACTTAAAGTCTCATCTGAAAAAAGAGGACCTCTGACAATTCTGAGCTCCTTGCGTACTGCACCTGGAGTGTTAGCCGAGAGAATGATCTCAAGTCCCAGCATAGGGCCTGAACCCACGTTGCAATTGTGAAATTGAGATAGAACTGTTTGCTAAATAGTCTAAGAATACCGTAGAAAGCTTCTGAAAGCTTCTTTGAATGTTGTGGCACCAAAGATATATCAACATATAGCAAATCAAGAGCTAACTCCCCCTCCACCCACGAACACAGTGAGTTTATTCTGTAAATATAATTCATACAAAATGGGAAGATTCTAGGTCCATTTATTTTTATTTCAGCTTTTTTGAGATCATTCATCTGTGTCCGAAAATCCTGCAAAATTGTGAAACGGTTGAAATTAATTTCCTTTGTGAGAAACATTTAATGCATATGTCTTTCACTTCTGCATTGAAAACATTAATTCCTTGACTGTATTGCATTTTTTAACTGAAATCAACAATTTTGCTTCTGTAAAACATGATGACTTTGGCCGTTTAGCATTCCTGTACATTTGGATCTTCTGAAGAGAAGGGGAATCAATTGGAGAGGGAAACAGCGAGGATTAAAATATAAAGCTGCTTACATTAATTTTGGTTCTATAATGCATTACTGTATTTGGAAAATCAAACACAAAAAGCAAGTTATTCAGTTCGAAGGACAAAGATAATTCTGTATCCAATGTATTAAAGAAAATAATCCACAGGAGATTAGAAATTTGATATGGAAGTGCTTTGCACCTGAATGTTCCCTTTGCTTCTGTACATCACTGTAGTTGTTTCCTGGATGTGAGACTAGTCAATGCTATTGATTTCTTTGCCAGATAGTCTACATGGGCTGGGTAGATGATCGAGAGCCTGACTCACTGCAGGATAAACTGTATACACCAAAGTATCTAGCCTTGAGGGGTTCTTGCCTATACAAATTTACAGCACCTCCGGTATGTGGTTTTATTCAATTTTGAATTATTCAATGTGCATTTTTAATTTGGATTCCTGTTGGAGCTACCCAGTTGATGTCTTTGTTCCACATCGAGCATGATGTATTATTACCCAATGCACAAACAACAAAATGAATCGCAAATTTTTGCTTTGCATTCTTCGTGTTGTACCTTCTGTGGTGACAATGATGGGACAATTTATTTGACACAGAGAGAAGCAAGCTCACAGTGAGCTCTGTTCTATGTTCTAGCACAGAAGCAGACAAAATTATTGAAGAAGCATTGCACTTTGGAACTAATTTTTAAAAGCGACATGTGCAACAGACACACTGTTCTGAAGGAAAGCAGAACAAGTTCTGCATTTAATTCAGGTTACAAATTCTGAAGTCTGCGCTAACATTTTTTTTGGCCCAGTACAATATGCTGCATTCTCCTTTCAAAGCTTCATAAAAGGTTTGGCTAGAATTGCAATGCTGCATCTGTACACTGTGCAACATCCCACATTGTTTACATAACCAAAAGGATTAACTGAGGTGTTTCATTGTTCATTGTCGATTTGCATTTTGGTGAATTGAAACCTGTTGGGAGGCTTTTTGCAAGAGGAGATACTTTAGTTCTGATTAACCTTGGTTCTGAATCTGATACTATATAATACAATCCAATTTACATTTATATATCGGGAGAGTATCTCAAACCACTTTGCAGTCCTGGTTGGGGACCCAGCCGGGTTGGGAGACAAGGGAATAGGGAATATATTTGTCTATTTGTTATGTCCAAAATTTTCTATCTGAAATCATCTTTCAGATCACATGGTAATTTCAATCAGATTAAACGATTCCCCTACTAGTTAGCATGACTGATTCTAAGTAACAGATAGACACTAGGAACTTGATGGTGAAAGTATTCAGCTCCTTGTTCAGCAGGGATCAATAGATAATTAACTTGCTTCTGTAAAAGATTGCTTCTTAATACAAGAGAGCCATCTTTTTGCCCACATATGCAATGCCTCGGGGTGCTTGTGCCCCTGTGAGAGGACTGGTTGGGATTTTACAGCTCCCACCCCCCCCATGTTACCGTGTTATAATGGGGCTTCACTGTGCTCGCGGTTACTCAAAATTTCACTATGGAGTATAGGGAAACTGTGGCCTCTGTTGTCATCTGTGGTTGCAGTGCTTATCAGTGCTCTGAGGAATTATACTATTGCAGTTCCAATATTCAGCCTTTTCAGTGGTTTCTTCAGTTCCAATATATAGATACCTGAGGGAGCAGCAAAGTAATCTATTTAATCCATATAGTAATTACTGTAAGAATGGGTCCAAGACACTTGATTCCTCAGCCTTGATTTTGTATTGAAACAATCGGGACAGTCCTCTTGCCCATTCCAGATGTTCAGGTTTTGTTTTACTTTTATAGTCAATTTTGCAAGATGCTCCTTTTGAAAAAAGATTTATAATAAAACATTTGATGCATCCTCTTTCGATACCATTACTTCTTAACTCCTGCAAATCATGCAATAAACATATAACAATAATCCTAATAATATTCCTTGCATTTTTTATTGCGCCTTTCACATTGGGAGGACGCCTCACAAAATATACTGTAAAGTGCAGTGACTGTATGCTTTGTAGGCAAACAACCTAAAGACAGATGTCCTCAGAAACAACATGAAACACTTCACTGCACACATCACACTGTCACATGCAGCTTAAACAAAGTACAGATGCTGTACTTGAGAGAACAGAAATGAATGGAAGTTCGTGAACTTTCAGCGGTCAAGGTATGAGTCCAATCATTTTCCCAGAACAGGACTTACAATTCTTTAGTTTCTTGGATGATTGCTAGGAATTTTAATGCATTTATTATTAAGGAATACTGAAAATTAATCTCAAGATATATGCCTTTATTTATGTTGGGAGTGGAGCCAATGATTCAGTGAAACCCATCAATCAATTTATTTTCAATCCTGTATTTTTTTCTTAATGCTGCAATGATGTATTTCATTAATTGCTAATTGTGCTTTAATCCTGTTGCCTACATCCTGAATTGTAGCAAAAAAAATCCTCAAAAGATTGTAAATCAAGATAATTTCCTTCCTTAGGTAACAACATGGGACTGGACAAGAGCTGTGAGGAGTTACGTAGTCTATGAAATTATGTGCAAAATCCTGAAGGTATGAACAAGCACATTGTATCAGTATCTACAATAAAGGACTGCAGTGCTTGAATTTACAAATAAACATTATTTTAAATAGAAATTCCAATGAATGTTTCCATTGCTGCATCAGATTACTTTGGCCCTGGACAGATCAACTGCAATGGTCTTTTTCATCCCTATGTTACTTAACATGGGGCTTAACTGGGCTAAACGTTGTACTGTGTGAGGTGTTCATCATCACGTAGTTGATACTGCAATCAAGACATTCAATAACGGAATACTGCTTCATGAGTGTGGACACACACCTCAGATTTGTGGCAATGGTTGGGTCCATTGCTAGCACATAACCAGCATTTTTGGGACGTCCTCCCGATGTGAAAAGCGCAATATCAAATGCAAGGATTATTATTGCAATTTCAACTCACTGAGTGTGGCAATTGGTGTGTTGGAAAGGTGATTGAGACAAGGATGCTGGATTAATTTTTAAAAAAATGTACCTCGATGCTGTGATGGGAGCATGGTAGGGTGGGTGTTCTGAAAGGATCAGAGGGGCCAAAGGGCCTTCTTCATCCGAACAGGTCTTGTGATCTTATGCTGAGAGCACTTTTGGCCCAAATGGCCATTGTCAAGAAGATATCTTTCTGAGGTTCTAGGAAGAGGTAACAGCTGTACTGAGGGTCTCCAGAGAATTGATTAATGAAGGTAGGCATTTCACTCAAATGGTGGACAGTGGAAATCTTTATAGAGATCATTGGCGGCATTGAATCAAATTGACTTGATTTATTTTGAGAAGCACAGAGTATAGCTTTCTCAAGAGTTGTTGTGTTGTAGACACATGCTGGATTGTGAATCATTAAAATCAATCGATCTTCATGGAGTGATCTTGGGAATCATAAGAGGGAGGTTATGTGTCCCAGGTATTGGCACAACACTTTACTCATATCCTTCATCTGTCTTATTAGACAATAGAAAAACTTCACTTGGAGGGCAGATTGGGAACATTGATTATCCAAATTACTCTAGTTGTTTTTATTAGGTATTTTTGAGCAACTTAGTTCAATTTGTATCTGGTATTGAAACCGGGGACAAATGTTCCTATCTTCTAGCAGGTGAGCCGTAGAAACTCCTGTCCTCTGGTAATGATGGCCCATGCACCATACTTTCAAACTCTTCTCTTTCCTGTAATGTAGAAAAGCTCTGAGATCTTGACAAAGTTGATGCAAAAACGAAATAACTGACCTATCTCAAACAGGGCACTGCTGCCACAGATCCACTGCTGTGCACCGTTGATGAAACATGTATTGCAATTTGCAAGAATCATTTCACAAGCAGTAAAAATGGTGCAATTTATCCCTAGTGGACAATATATCATGCAAAGAAATTGGAAAGATACATATCCCCTCTCAAATAGCAATAGAGTCAGAAATATGCGCTTGACAGGTGAAATGTGAATTCTCTCATATCTTGGCGTGTTTCCTAAATAAAGCTGATCAGTTGCATAGTCAGAAAATGCTGTTCCTTTCATGGTGAAAAAGACCAGGTATGTGTCATTTCTGTCCAATGGAGCTGCATACAAGCAACACAATCATGTTTTTTTTTTGCATGTGTATGTGTGTACATTTGCGAACGTGTTTGTATCTATATGAACTAGTGCGAATGTTGTGTATGGGTGTATATTTGTGAATGTGTGAGTGTGGATTTATGTGGGGGTGTACATGTGTGAGTGTGAATACAATACAAAATTATATTTGTAAAGCACCTTTTACATCGGGAGGATGTCCCAAGGCACTGAAGGGTAGGAGATTAGGATCCAAGCGGTGGGGGGGAGGGTTAGGATCAGGGATGGTGGAGAGCAGAGAGGGTAGAAGGGTGACCGAAGGCACAGTCAAAGAAGAGGATCTTGAAGCATGTCTTGAAGAAGATAAGGGAGAGGGTGAGGCAAAGGGAATGTGGGATTATCATTATTATTATTATGGAGTTCTAGAGGCTGGGGGCAGAGAGGCTGAAGGCCTGACTGCCGATGGTGGGTTGGGCGGGGGACATGTAGCAAGCCGGAGCCTGCTGAGCAGAGGAAGCAGACAGGTTAATAAGGGGATAGCAGGTCAGAGAGGTAGGAGGGTGCAAGACCATGAAGAGCCTTGAAGGTGAGGACGAGGATTTTGAACTTGATCCTCTGAGGGATGGGGAGCCATTGGAGCCATCGGATTCATGGCATGGATGTGGCAGAGAAAGGTTAGTTGAGGTCAAGCAAGACGCCAAGATTCCTGAATGGCTTGGTGAGGTGGAGTGTGCATCCATGGATGCTGATGCTGCAATGCCTGAGATGCGGAGACACTGACGCGAGCCAATCAGGAAAGCCTCAGTCTTGCTGAAGTTCAACTGTGGAAAGTTGGCTCTCATCCAGGATTTGATGCCTAACAGACAGTCTGTCAGGACATGTGTGTGTGTGTGTGTGGGGAGGGGGGGGGGGGGGCGGTCAGGGTATATATGTGAGTATGGATGTGTGTGCTTGGTAAAAATATTAATTGATGTGTGCCAGATTATATAACTTCAGGTTTTCATCAGGACAGTGACCTATGGGACCGGCGGAAATACAGCTTTAGTGTTCAGACAGAAAATGGCGAGGACCTAGTCTTCAGTCTGGAATTAGAGTATGAACTCATTCTCTGGGAGAAGGCCTTCCAAACATCAACATTCTTGGAGGTTGAACGAATACAGGTATTACCAAAACTAACTTGTCGTGGGTTATATATAAAACAAAAGTTACATGTACAATACATTTCTTTAGCACCTCTCTCACACAGGCAAACAGAATGTTGGAAATGCTTTCTCATCTAATCAAAAGATCACAAGATTGGTTTGGATGAAGAAGGCCATTTTATTCTCGTTGCTCCAGAATACCCAACCTACTGTCCTCCCATCAAATCATCAAGCTGCCTCAATCCATCCAGTTTGAGCCCACTTGCTTGTCTTTAGATCACTTCTGAAGGCCCTCCTCTTCGACCGCGCCTACTGTCATCTTTCCCTGGCTTGATATCAAGCTCCTCCACTGTTAAGCGCTCCAACGCTCTACCCCATATGAAAGATGATGTATAAATGCAAGTTGTTCTAAATGATCGTATAAATGTTCCTTTTCTCATCTTCAGCCTTCCAACCTCTCTCCATCACAACTTCTTTCCTCTTTCCATCTTTTCTCAGTATGTAGTATGGACCATGTCAAATCCTACTGCTCTGCCCTCGCCTCCGCTAAATCGTCGTTCTAATCCAAGATGATCTTGGAGGCTAAGGACAACCCCAGGCTCCTCTTCTCCATAACAAACCGACTTCTCCGCCCACCCTCTCATGCTTCGCCCATCCTCACCTCAAATGCAAACTGCGAGGAGATCCTGGACTTCCTCGAATCCAAAGTCGAGGGAATCCACTCAGCTGCCTCTGCCGCTGCATCTACTTCCCCTCCCCATCTCCTCCTCCTACCCCAGCCCCTACCTACCCCTCCCTCCAAACCTTTGAACCCTTCTCCCCCTCCTCTCTCATCACCACTATAACCTGTATGAAACCCACCACCTGCTCCCTCGACTACATCCCTACCCTACTCCTTATCCCACAGCTCCACCTCCTTGCCCCTCTACTCACTGACATGGTTAAACTCTCCCTGTCCTCTGGTACTGTTCCCACCCCGTTAAAAAACGCTGTCATCACTCCTATTCTTACAAAACCCTCCCTGGACCCTTCTCTACTCCCTAACTACTGCCCCATCTCCAACCTCCCCTTCCTCTCCAAGGTCCTGGAATGGGTTGCTGCTTCTCAGCTTCGCTTCTTCCTCTCCCGCCATTTCCTTCTCAAACCCCTCCAATTAGGCTTCCGTGCTGCCCACAGCACAAAAAACGCCCTGGTCAAAGTGACAAATGACATTCTGTTCATCTGCGGCGAGGGCTCCCTCTGCCTCTTTGTCCTCCTTGACCTCTCTGCAGCTTTCAATACCGTCGACCACTCTATCCTTATCCACCACCTCTCCTCTCACCTCAACCTCCACAGCGCTGTCCTTGATTGGTTCAGATCGCACCTCTCAGACCGCCTGCACTTCATCTCCTCAAATAGCTTCTCCTCTAACCCCCAGATCGTTTCCTGTGGCATTCCTTAGGGCTCTGTCCTTGGTCTGCTCCTCTTCAACATTGAAATGCTCCCTCTTGGTGACATCATCCGCAGACAAGGGGTCAACTTCCACTTGTATGCGGATGACACCCAACTCTATCTCTCTGCCTCCACCTTTGTCTCCAGGACCACTGCTGTACTGACCGAATGTCTGTCAGACATCAAGTCCTGGATGTGAGCTAACTTTCTTCAGTTGAACATCAACAAAACCGAGGCTCTCCTGATTGGCTCCCATCAGCGCATCCTCACCTCAGGCGCTGACAGCATCACCATCCATGGATGCACACTCCACCTTACTAAGCCAGTCCGGAACCTCTTGTTTGACCTTCAGTTATCCTTTCTACCCAACATCGCTCTGCCTTCCCCCACCTCCGCAATGTCGCCCGGCTCCGACACTGTCTCACACTGCAGGCCGCCGAAACTCTCATACACGCCTTCAATACATCGAGGCTCGACTATGCAAACTCCCTGCTTGTCGGCCTCCCCAACTCCTCCCTCCACAGGCTGCAGATCATCCAGAACTCTGCAGCCCATGTCCTCTCCCGCAATAGGCTCCGCGACCCTTTCACCCCCTTCCTCTAACTCCACTGGCTTCCAATCACACAGAGGATACAGTTCAAGATCCTGGTCCTCACCTTCAAAAGTTTTGTTCCCCCCTACATCTTCGACTTCCTAACCCCCTACCACCTTGTTCGCTCTCTCCGCTCAGCGAGCTCTGGCCTGCTTCACATCCCCGCTCTGCTCGCCCCACTATAGGCGGGTAGGCCTTCCACCACTCTGCATCCACCCTCTGGAACTCCACCCCACAGTCCCTCTGTCTTGCCCCCTCTTTCGCCACCTTCAAGCCCCAACTCAAGACCCTCCTCTTCGACCGTGCTTTCGATCTCCCTCCTTCCCCCCCCGCCCTCCCCACTCCCACATCACGACCCTCAGATTGGGTATGTAACTCTGACTGTCCAGCGGCTTGGGATGTCCTCCCGATGTGAAAGGCGCTATACAAATGTAATTTTATTGTTGTTGTAGTATGGCCAGTATTTTTGTGAACTTTCCTCCTTTGGTTCTCAAAAATGTCAAATAATAATAATACTTGCTTTGGTATAGCACCTTTGATGTGGTGAGGCCATTTCAGGGTCAGACACTGAGATGACAAAAAAAAAACACTAGATTAGTGCTCTATGCGAGCAGGGATCATTTGCAAAATTTACCGAACAGATGCCCCATGCCCACATCAACAAATTAATTATCTGTAGGGAACTGATTGGAATAACACCCAATGTAGCTTGAATCCACGTGATGTTTGGTTTGGCAGAAAGCCAAGATCCTATGGGTTTTATGCTGTTACATGAGCTCCTGCTTACCTATGAGCACATTCATGTTCAAGCTGCCATTTGTCTCATAGGCTTTATCAAGAGACTCTGAAGGGGCTGCTGACCAAAGCCATCTCTGACATTTCATAACATTCTGGATTGCTCATATTTGCATATGCATCATTGTTCTGTGCATAATTAGCCACCTGACAGATCGAGGACTTAAAGGGATCTAAATCGACTGAGATTTTTCCTTTTGATTTCTGCTGTCTCAAACATGGTGAAACGCAGCACATGTTTGAAGAAGAAACAGTGATCGAGGAGCTCTTAAATGACGTTTTGTTCAAGAAATCCTGTTTTGCTCAAAGTTTCTTTTGTATAACAACAATGTGCTTTTATATTGTGCCCTACACCACACTGGACAGTGTCTTGGAGCACTCTACAGTTGGATGCTGAGTAAGGGAGAAGTGGGAGGTGTCCATAGGCATGGTTGAAGAGGCACCTTTATAGAAGCATTTCACGTTCTCCGATAGTCTCTGGATCCTCTTGGTGACAGCACAAGGTCAAGATTGACAAACATGACTTACTATTTGATAGTAAACATCTAAATAAGTTGTTTTATATATTTTTAACAAATGCTGATTTTCCATCATAGCCATGAGTGTACTTCTCAATTATGTTTTGTTACAAGACAAAGTATCATTGCTCTCTAAAACCTCTCTCTCTGAGCCGAAGAGATATTGAATGCTGTAAATACATAGAACTCTATTTGAGAAAGGAATTCAGCATTAAACTTTTCAGTTCAATAAGAAAACAGGCTCTAAATTGTCATGATTCATAACAGGAGTTACTAACAGCTTTTTTTTATAATCTGGGGAAAAGCAGTTCCCCAAATAAGACTGAATTCAATGATTTTCCAAAATTCTGTACAATTGTGAATTTTGCGACATTGGTTTTGAGACTGTCATAAGACATTTTGAGTCTTAGGAATAACTGTTACAGAATGATAATAGTTGTTTGAGGTGAGAAGATGCCAAGTAAAACGTTACATGGGATTGGTCTGTGATTCCTTTTCTGGATTGTGTGTTAGGTGCTGGGGTATTTTCATGTGGTAACCCCAACTTTGGGTTCGAAGGTTGTGGGTTGAAGCCCTGCACTGCAGTGCAGTTCTGGGCAAATTATCAATACTGGTGTTGTGCTTTGGCTGAGAAGTTAGACTGATGTCCCATCTGCCAATTCAGGTTGACTTTTAAAGATCCCATGACACTATTGAAAAAGCAAAAGGTGTGTCTCTCAGTGTTGTGGCTAACGATTCCCCAGATACATTAGCCATTCGCTTCAAGGCTGTTTATGGGATATTAGATGTACCCATTGCAGATTCGCTTGCAACCAAATGATCTAATATAGAATGTAGATTGACACACAGACAGACACACAGACAGACATGTCATCTTTATCTACACTCATCTGGGAAGGCTCCTGTGGGAGGACTCCTTTTTGGAGGACTCAGTTGAAAGACTCAGTGCTTTAAAAATGTAATTTTGTTGTTGATGCCGTGGTTGAGCTCTGTCTGTGTTATTTATTTTGTTCCCGCTGGTTCACTACGTGCAAGCTTCTGTGACCCAGGATGCCACAGCACCACGGTCAGCTGGCGCAGCCACCAGGTGTAACTACAGTGTGTGCATACATATGTAGGTGCTCTCTGATGTACAATGCCACAGCGCCACTTTAACTCAGCGGCCACCAGGTGTACCTGCAGCGAAAAACGCAAGACTGAAAATAACTCAGGAACAATAGGAGATACCTGAAAACAGATATGCCCATGTCACTCTCAGGTGCAAGACCTTTCCGATGAGGTATAAATCATGTCTCTACATCAATCGGTTATTGTGATCCTTCTTGAAACACAGACAGACATTGACAATCTATAAGAGATTCGGATGGAGAAGACCAATATGGTGGTGTAATAATCCAAGGTTTATTAAGTAATACAAACAGCTTAACTTATTCTTAAAACTGAGACCATAGATACAGTAGAATCAATATCAATTCCACTGGGAGGTGTGCTGACCCTCGATGACAACTCCGACTATTTCAAAGTCACATCTTTCTTTCATGTGTTTCTAACTCACCTCCTCTTGTCACAGAGATAGCCCCCACCCTTCACAAGCTGCTAGTGATCTTAGAGCAGGCTCATTTTGCATGAGAAAACAACTGATAAAGAGAAAGAAATGTGGACATTCTGCCATCTTCCTGTTTCTTAGTCTTGAAATAAGCAGATGTCCACTTTATGGACTCTGAGCCCCATGTTTTCATATCTGTGCTCAAGAACATGATTACTCAATTCTTAGATGGGAGGATGACATGGGGCTCAGGCACCAAGCAAGGGAAAGTCATCAGAACCTGACCTCAGCCGGGGTCAAGCCAATGTATCTTTACATTTGCCAACACTAATTATAATAACAATAATCCTTGCATTTGATATAGCGCCTTATCAGGTCTTCGAGACGTCTCAAAGCACTTCACAGAATATACTGTAAAGTGAATTGACTGTAAATTTTGTGGATGAAACGCGGCAGCCAATTGTGCACAGCAGTGTCCCACAAAGAGTCGTGGTTTGAGTGAACAAATTATTATTTTTTAAGGAATTATTACCCCAGGAAAAGCGATCCGCTAATTGACTAACCCCAGGTTCTTACTTACTGCTGGGCAAATAAAGGCATGTGGAGTAAGGAAACTTACCCAACATTTCGCCCTACCGGGAATCGAACCCAGGTCTCTCGCTTGCGAGGCGAGTGGTCTAGCACTGAGCTACAGGATTCCACACATAATTGGCACATGTACCCCTCAAGGGCCTTCAGTTAGTTATTAAAAACGTGCACCCTTGTTCATGCTCCAATAACTACGAAATCCTATACTAAAAAGGTTATAAGTGTTTGGTTACATTCTAAAAGTATTCTCATTAAAACCCTTAAAAACAGTAAGCATTGCAAATATAATCTTACAAGTGTATAAATTGGCCTTTAGCCTACAATTACACAGCTACTATACTTGTCAGCAATTTCATGTGAAGCACTTGAGACATTTGGATATTATAGGAGTTATATCATTTTTAAGGATTATTATTATTCTATGCTTCACTGTATACACAGTATATACAGAGTTTATTTTCTGCTATTACAGTGCAAGACATATCCATGTGTACTGGAGAGTCACCTCATGGGACTGACCATAGACTTCAACATGGGCTTTGTCTGCTTTGATGCTGCAACAAAGGTAAGGTAATAATTGTTAAGTCTGCTTTTTGTAAAGATGAATATTAATTCAGTTCCAAATTACCACAGCCTGATTTTCTGCTCAATGCTCATAACAGTGGAGCCTCAATTGAATTCCAGAGGCATTGACGCAAAGCTACAATACAGGTTGAATCAAAGTGTACTTTAATTGGATAGCCTTGTGTTCGATCCTTTCCATCACAAGAGTAGTGAAATGTGAATTATTCCTTTAATATTTAGTGTGAGCATTAAAAAGGTCTATATTTGTACGTATATTTCTTCCTTAATTTCTTGTATGTCACTTTCTCTTTATTTAATTAAACCCTTTGAAGAAACTAGGACTCCAGTGAGGGTGTCAATTAACATGGGAAATGAATTGGCATTAAGAGACAATATCGGTTAATAAGTTCCTACTTATTGGCTCGGCAGATCCTTTCATACAATTTCTACTTCAAATAAAATTAAATGAATCATTTCTTCTTCTAAACAATACAAAAGCACAATTTCCATCTGGTCAACTGACTAACAGACCTAATGAATGGACAACGCTGTCTTTCATTATGTGGGGAAGATGGCTACTGAGCTGGAATTCATCCACATTATCCAATTCATCATTGCAACTGTAAGAAATTAGCCCCATTTTATAATGTGGTTGATGTGATAATTGCATCAAATGCATTATTAAACTCCACATCTCTATGTACTTTTCATTTGTTCACATACAGGAGAGCAAAAAACCTATGGCAAGAATATTCTCTGTAGATATATAGGAGTGTGGAAAAACAGGAAAAGAAGGAGACGTTTCAGCCCATCCAGTCTGTTCCACCGGTTTATTAGATCTTGGCAGATCTTTTGATCCCAATGCCCCGATCTTTTTGCCATTCTGCTTAATACCTTTACTATCCAAGAATCTACCTTTTTTAAACATCAATATTTATTCCATCTCTACCACTTTTTGGGGCAAAACATTCAAAAATCGTCACAAACCTCTGTTTGAAGAAAGTTATATATTTTCCCTACCTCCACAACATCGCCTGGCTCCGCCACTGTCTTGCACCGCAGGCCGCCAAGACCCTTATACACATATTCATAACATCTAGGCTTAATTATGCAAACTCCTTGCTTGTCGGTCTCCACAACTCCTCCCGCCATAGGCTGCAGATCGTCCAGAACACTGCAGCCCATGTCCTCTCCCACACCAGGCTCCATGACCCTATCACCACCATCCTCGCCTAACTCTACTGGCTACCATCATACAGAGGATATAGTTCAAGATCCTGGTCCACACCTTCAAGGCCTAACTGTGACCTCCTAACCCCCTACCAAACTGCCCGCTCCCTCCTCTCAGTGGGCTCCGGCCTGCTTCATGTCCCTCACCTCATTGGCGGATGGACCTTCAACCCCTGCCTCCACCCTCTGGAACTCCATCCCGCAGCCCCTCCACCACCCCCCCTCCTTTGCCTCATTCAAGATCCATCTCAAGACCCTCCTCTTCGATTATGCCTTTGATCACCCTCCTTCCCCCTGCCCTCCAATCACCCAATCCCGACCACCAGCTCGGGTCCGAAACACTGATTGTTCAGCACCTTGGGATGTCCTCCCAACATGAAAGGCGCTATATAAATGTCATTTTGTTGTTTTGTTATAGATATATATTCTAATAATAATGCCTGCTAGAGTGCCTTATCAAGTCTTCCAGATGTCTTCACTTCACAGAATATACTGTAAAGTGAATTAACAGTATATTGTGTTGGTGAATTATAGATTTATACACATTATATATTGTATATATATTATAATATATTTTATACTTTATATTATATTATAGACTAGGAATCACAAGATTTCAAGATTTAGATGAAGAAGGCCTTATGGCCCATTTGATCTCATCGTTCCAGAAAACCCATCCTTCCTACCGTCTTCCCATCACAGCATCAAGCTGTTTTTAAATGTGTCCATTGTTGTGGCCATAACTACCCTCCCCAGCAACCTGTTCCAGTCATTAGTTATCTGGTGTGGAAAGAAAGCTTCCAGGTGTCTGTCCTGTGCTTTGCAACTCCAAACCTATGCCCTCTTGTTCTGCTGTCTTGGTGTTTCCAAAAATATTGTGCTGGATTTACTTTTTTGAGAAGTTGTTTACAAGTCTCAAATAACAACAATTTTTGAACAGGGGAATTTCCTTGCTGTGTGAGGAAGAGGTTCTGTCTGCATGTTTATCATTGTTGGTTTCTGTGAGCAGCGGGAGAAACTGTTTACCTTCAGCAGTTCTGCCTTGGTGATCACGGCCCTCTGAAGGGGACAGCTGTTCTATTTAGATTGCAGCTCCACGGCCCAAGCTGGGCTTCAGCTAGTGACAGTTCACAATGTTAACACTGTGTATTCATCCGTATATCATATAAGAGTCTAAAATGCAGATGGGCTACTAGCCCAGAGGCTATAATAATAATAATAATAATGTTTTCCTTGCACTTGATATAATGACTTTTCACATCATTGAAATGTCTCAAAGCGCTTCACAGAATTTACTGTAAAGTGGAGTTTCTGTGTAATCTGTGGGCAAATGTTGCAGCCAATTTGCACATGAAAAATGCCATAAAACAGTTATGGAGTGAGCAACCAATTTTATTTAGAGCAAATGGGATCTTGGTTTATTGTCTCAAAATTCAACTCCGACAATTTAGCAAAGCAGTGGCGTGGCAGGCTAAACTATATGGGTTCATCTCCCAACATGGGGCTTCTAACTAAACTAAGCTAACCTGCAATTTAGAGCCCAATAATAATAATAATAATAATAATCCTTGCATTTGATATAGCGCTTTTCACGTCGGGAGGACGTCCTAAAGCGCTTCACAGAACACACTGTAAAGTGAATTGATTGTATATTTGTGGGCGAACGCGGCAGCCAATTGCGAACAGCAATGTCCCACAAACAGTCGTAGATTGAAAATGAACAATTTTTTTTATTATTGTTTTTGTTTGGAGGGATTATTATTAGGCGTGTGGAGTAAGGAAACTTGCCCAAGGTTTCGCCCTGCCTGGAATTGAACTCAGATCTCTCGCTTGCAAAGTGAGTGCTCTAACCACTGAGCTACAGGACTCCACAATAATGACAAGAGTCAGCCTGACGCAGTAGGTATCAACACAGTTCAGTTGGCAGCACTGTCACTTCTGAGTCATATGACTGAGTTCAAGGCCCATATCAGGACTTTGAACTCACTGTCTAGGCTGACAATCCAACACACTGTTAGGAGAGTACTGCATTGTTGGAAGTTCTGCTCTTCAGATGAGATGTTGAACCAAGATCCCATCTGAGTGTTCATCCCACCTGAGTAGATGTTAAAGATCTCATGTCACTATTTGAAAAGAGAAGGGAGTTTTTCTGAATGTCCTGGTCAATAATCCTACAGATAAAAATTGTTCATTCACTTAATAGCTCTTGTCAGACATTGGGGGCTTTGATTGTCCACAAAATACATCTACAAATATGTCACTACACCAAACGGTAAATCATGTGAAGCACTTTAAGACATCCTCTCCAGGTGAAAGGCCTACACCAAATGTAAAGGCTACTAATCTGAGTTGCATAAATGAGGATTTTTATTGACTAGATGTACATCACGCCAACCCATCAGAATTCCGCATCAATAGATTCTACTTCCAGAGCAGAGTTCCCAAAGATTGACAGGAATGCTAGAAGGAATTATTAAGGAATTCCATTAAGAAACAATGGAAATAGGCTTTGTGTTCTGACTATTGCTATTTTGTACCTGTCCTACCAGCCTGAACCTGACACAGTGATGCCTGTTTATTATAATTGCCACAAGGATATTACGTGAAATAAAAGATAAGTCTCTTTAAGAACTACTCATTATTTTTCAGCTTGAGTGCATCACTCATGCAGGTAATGAGCCCAAAATAATTGAAGGCTTCTTACATCTGTAGTTCATCTCAGATTATTCATTATTCTATCTGTCTCCAGTTAATAAACATTAAGCAAACCTGTGTTGCGTGTATTAAAGAATTGTTGGTGCTAAGCATATTAAGATGCAATGTTTTAAAGATCATCTGATCTATGAATGGGAAACCAATCAATTTACAGCACAGATTGTAGAGGGGATTGTATTATATTGCTGTCTGAACAAAGATAAACAAGATATCACTGTAGAGCCCAACAAATCCTGGATAAAAATGTCTCTGTTTGGTAAACAGTTTTTGATACCTTTCAAATTTATTCAATCTGCCGCAACTATCTTACACAAGAAAGTATAAAACAAATAAAATAACATTGAATAAAAACATGCTGGAAGTAACATCAGCTGGGAGCATATCTGTTGAAGTGTTGAAGCTGCAGCAATTAGTAGAAACACAGTCTAGAGCTGGAAAGAGATTAGCTGAGTAAGGTTATTAGTCCAGATCAAGAGAGACATAACAAAGTTAAATTGCATCGGCTTTGAAATAAGAAACAGTGGATTAGGAATATGATTCAGGCATGCAGATGGAAAGAACGAAAAGGATATGTCAGGAAGGCACTGAGGAATGGCTTTAAAAAGGTGTTTATGACAATAAATATCCTTGCACTTACTATAGCGTTTTATTCACGTCAAAATATCTCAAAGCACTGGATAATATTTACTGTAAAGTGGAGTGACTATGGATTTGTAGGTAAACATAGCAGCCAATTGTGCACACAGCAATGTTCCACATTACAGATAAGGGAATACATTTTTTTTCTGGAGGATTATTGGTCAAGATAAGCTCTCTACTCATCTGAATACTGTTGCAGACTGTTGCAGACCTCCCCTTTCTCTCCAAGGTCTTGGAAAGAGTTGTCGCCTCCCAACTGCGCTCTTTCCTTTCCACCCATTCTCTTTTTGAACCCCTTCAGTCAGGTTTCCGTGCTCCCCATAGCACAGAAACTGCCCTGGTCAAGGTCACCAATGATATCCTGACCATCTGTGACCAGGGCTCCCTCTGTCTCCTCGTCCTCCTCGACCTATCGGCAGCATTCGATACGGTCAACCACGCTATCCTACTCCACCGCTTGTCCTCCCACCTCAACCTTCAAGGCACTGTCCTTGAATGGTTTACGTCGTACCTTTCTCACCGTCTTCACTTTGTCTCAACGAATGGCTTCTCCTCCACCCCCCGTACTGTCTCATGTGGTGTCCCTCAGGGCTCTGTCCTCGGTCCCCTCCTCTTCACCCTCTATATGCTCCCCCTCGGTGACATCATCCGCAGACATGGAGTTAACTTCCACATGTATGCGGATGACACCCAACTCTACCTTTCCTCCTCTACTCTCAACTCCACGACCACCGATGTCCTGACAGCCTGCCTGTCCGACATCGAGTCCTGGACGAGAGACAACTTTCTTCAGCTCAACGTGCGAAAAACCGAGGCCCTCCTGATTGGCTCACGTCAGCGCCTCCGCACCTCAGGCGCTGACACCATCAGCATCCAAGGCTGCACTCTCCACCTCTCAAAGCCAGTCAGGAACCTCGGCGTTTTGTTCGACCCTGAGCTGTCCTTTCTCCCTCACATCCGCACTACAACTGGCACCGCCTTCCATCACCTCCGGAACATCGCCAGACTACGGCACTACCTCACCCCTCACGCTGCTGAAACCCTGGTCCACGCCTTTGTCACCTCAAGGCTGGACTATGGGAACTCTCTCCTCGCCGGCCTTCCCGCCACCTCCCTCCACAAGCTGCAGGTCATTCAGAACTCTGCAGCTCGTGTACTGTCCCGCACCAGGCTTCGGGACCACATCACTCCCACCCTCGCTCGCCTCCACTGGCTCCCCATCCCCCAGAGGATTGATTTCAAGATCCTCATCCTCACCTACAAGGCCATTCACGGCCTTGCTCCCTCCTACCTCTCCAACCTACTATCCCCCTACCTACCTGCCCGTACCCTCCGTTCCTCTGGCTCTGGTCTGCTCCACGTCCCCCGCCCCAACCGCCCTACCATCGGTGGTCGGGCCTTCAGCCTCTCAGCCCCCAGGCTCTGGAACTCCATCCCCCAGTGCCTTCGCCTTGCTTCCTCCCTTTCCTCCTTCAAGGCCGGTCTCAAAACCTTTCTCTTTGACCGAGCCTTCAGCTCCCCTCTCGACTCTCTTCCCCTCCTCGCTCCCTCCCTTCCCTCCCCTCACCCTGACCATTTCCCCCCTCCTCGCTCCCTCCCTTCCCTCGCCCTGACCATTTCCCCCCTGCTCGGGTCATGACCCAACTGTGCAGCGCCTTGGGACGTCCTCCTGACGTGAAAGGCGCTTTATAAATGGAATCTTGTTGTTGTTGTTGTTGTTGTTTAAGGGAAGCTGCCCGGTGTGGAGGGTGCTATATAAACGCAAGTTGGTGTTGTTGTGAGATCTTTAACATCAACTTGAACAGGCAGATGAGACCTTGGTTTGAAGTCTAATCCAAAGGACTGAATCTCGGGCAACGTATTACTCTGGATTGTTGTGTAGACCAGGGCTGGTCAACTTGTGGCCTATGACAATTCTACACGAGTAATGCTGCTTGGGGTAATGTCATCCCAGACCATTACTCCCTCCCTTAACTCCTCAATACCTCTCCCACCGCCATCCAACCCAGCTCCATCTCCGACCGCCCCTGGAAAAAAAACCTCCCCTCTCACCCCCTTCCCGCTGCCTTAGAGTCATCTGAACTCCTTTGGCTTCTTCCCGCAATGTCCTGTTCTCCTCGGTCACTCTCCTCCACAACTTCCTCTCCACCACTCTCAATGCCCTTGCCCCACTTACTTCCCGAACCATCTCCTACTCACAGAAGTCACCCTGGTACACCAGCCACCTCCGCTACCTTAAGACTCATGTGTGTGCTGCTGAATGCACCTAGCTCAAGTCCAACTTACCAGTCCATTGGCAGATCTGACTGGACCCTATTAAATCTTACCACTCCGTCCTCACCTCTGCTAAACCATCCTTCTACTCCAAGGCAATCTTGGAGGCCAAGGACAATCTCAGGCTCCTCTTCTCCATCACCAACCATCTCCTCCGCCCACCCATCCTCTACTTCAACACCAACTGCAAGAAGATGCTGGACTTACTCAAAACCAAAGTCGAGGGGATCCACTTAGCTGCTTCCGCCCTTCCGACAACTACCCCCTCCCCATCTCCCCTCACACCCAGGCCCCTATCCATCCCTCCCTTCACACCTTCGAACCTGACTCCCCGTCCTCCCTCATCACCACCATCTGCGACCAGGGCTCCCTCTGCCTCTTTGTCCTCCTCTCTGCTGCCTTCGAAACCTTTGACCATTCTATCCACCTCCACCATTTCTCCTCTCACCTCAACCTCCACGGTTCTGTCCTTGAGTGGTTCAGATCCTACCTCACACCATTTTCACTTCATCTCAACAAACGGCTTCTCGTCTAGCCCCCGTACAATCCCATACGGAGTTCCTCAGGGCTTTGTCCTTGGTCCCCTCCTTTTCAGTGTCTGTATGCTTCCTTTTGGTGACATCATCGCCAGACATGGGGTCAATTTCCACATGTATCAGGTGACATCCAACTCTATCTCTCTGCCTGCTCCTCGACTCTAGGAATACTGCTGTTGTCGCACAGCTAACTTTCTGCAGTTGAACATCAGCAAGACTGAGGCTCTCCTGATTGACTCGTGTTCGTGCCTTCGCATCTCAGACACTGGTATCCATGGATGCTCACTCCACCTTATAAAGCCAATCCAGAACCTTGGCGTCCTGTTTGACCCTCTACTATCCTTTCTACCCCAAATCCATGCCATGTCCCGTTCTGCTTTCCTCCACCTTTGCAACATCGCCCGGCTCCACCACTGTCTCACACCACAGGCTGCCAGATCCTCATACATGCATTCATAACATTCAGGCTTGACCTGGTCCTCACCTTTAAAGCCCTCCATGGCCTTGCTTCACCTTACCTCTGCAACATTCTAACCCCCTACCAAACTGCCTGCTCCCTCTGCTCAGTGAGCTCCAGACTGCTTCACATCCGCCGCCTTGCCCTCCCCACCATTTGCCTATTGGCACCCACCCTCTGGAACTCTATCCCGCAGTCCCTCTGCTTTGCCCCCTCCCTTGCCTTCTTCAAGTCCCATCTCAACACCCTCCTTTTCGACCGTATCTTCGGTCACCCTCCTTCCCCCTATGCTCTCCACCCTCCCTGATCAGGAGCTCAGTGAATGATGAAGTAACCAGATGGTTGGGATTTCTCATAGTCTTAGTGCTAACATTCAAGATTGTGCATAATCCTGGAGAATTGTAAATAATCATAATGTTGATGGTTTTTTTTGTGAAGTTTGATTGAAGAACAAAAGAAAACATCTTTCCAAATTAAAATCCCATTTAAGAAATGTCTTTAATTTTAAGAGAATGGTTTTAAGAGCAAGTCTCTGAGAAATGTCAGGTCTTCCGTACACAAGTGTAAGGTTCAGGAAGGAAGTTAGTGAGTGAAGGTTCAGCACAATCAACATAAAGTTAATGAGATGAGTGAGATAGTAAGCTTAGCTCTGACGATGTAGAGTTAAGAAAGGATGTGAATAAGGAACTGGAAAAGTCAGTAGTACAGATGAAAAGGGAAAATGATTAGTGAGCGAGAAACTGAGTTGGTCAGTGGAACACTGAAGAAAGAATATGGTAATATGCGGAGGGACAATCTGGTGAAGGAGCTCATTAAATGAGAGGTGCTTGGCACAATTAAGAAGAAAGATCGATGAATGTGAGGAGCTAGGTTGATCAGGTCAGTGAGGAAGATGCATCCTGACTATAGATATGGACAAGCTCAATAAATAAGAGAAAGAATATTTCAGTATGGAACAAAGGAGCAGGCAAAAGAATAATGTTAACTGATCCTCTTACAGGTCTCACATGTCAGGGTACACCAAGGAGAGTCATTCAGATTGAATGGAGAGATTTTATTTTTCTCATAAACAATCCATTTGGCCTTCTTCTACATGGAGCTTGTTAATATCCTTGGTATGTGACACTATGTAGTGCTGACTTCACAATGTATCTGCATTAGGATTTTAGCTTTGTTAGAGGCTATCAGATCTGGATAGTACACTGTTTCTCAGATTACATTCTTCCAAATTCAATTTCCTTTTCGTACAGTTAAATGTGAATAGGATCTTTGGTATGTATCTAATTTCTCTACCTGATGGGTTCACTTCATGACTTATGAACCAGGCTTGTTGATCAGCCTCTTTCTGAAAATGGCAATGGTGCCGCTATCTGATTTTGACCCTGCAATGTAATTTTTATGAGTTACATATTGCTGCAAATATTTACACTTGACCACCATTCAGCTCCCTTTATTCAAGCCCCTTTCTTTGACAGTATTCGAAAAGAGAAGGGAGTTTCTCCCAGTGTCATGGCCAAGAAACCCCCAGATAAAATTGGTCATTCACGTCATGGCTGTTTATGAAACATTGCCGTTTGTAAATTGGCTGACACATTCACCTACAAATTGCAGTCACCACATTTTATAGTAAATCCTTTGAAACACTTTGAGATGTCCTGCCTCCTGACATGAAAAGCGCTATATTAAATGCAAGGATTATTATTATGATTATTATCTAAGCATCTCACAGCTAGTAGAATTTCGACCTCAGAGTTTATTTACAAGGTACTGAATTTCTCAGTGTAGAACTAAAATGGTAAACTGGGAACACAGTCTATCTGCTTAGTTTGAGCAAAAGTTCAGTTTGGAAGAAGGCAGAATCACAATCCCAGCAGGTTCTCTTGATCTTTCTTTTGACTGAATCACATGTAACAAACTATTCCAATTGTAATACACACTGCATTTTGACTTTACATCAGCAATCTGAAGAGTTGAAAGCCTTTCCTTCAGATATATTCTCTTTGTACTACAGCCAGGTATCTTAAATTAAAAAGGACATAATCATTTTGTTGTAAAGCAAACATACGGCAAAAGAAAAATGTCAGTATAGAATATTCCAGATAACCTATTTGGCATTGATTTTTTATTTTTTACATGCTGTTTACAGGCTGTTCTCTGGAGGTACAAGTTTTCTCAACTGAAAGGTTCTTCAGATGATGGAAAGAGCAAGATTAAGTTTTTATTCCAGAATACGGACACAAAACAAATTGAAGCGAAGGTAATGGGTCGTGAAACAAATATCAAGCCAGGCAAACCTGTGTTAATGCTTTTTTTTGTGAAAAACATAATGCTTATGCATATTTTATATTTCATGGTACAAAATGCTTTGAAAATATATTAATACAGTTGAAAATGACAACAGATTGGATATCCACTTCAATTGTGAGATGCTGAAATGCTGCTGAACTATTGACCTCCACAAAGAGAATCATCATGTGTTTTTCAATTAGATAGTGTGGCATCCTCCAGAGAAGTAATTACATTGCATGTGTTTTCAGCTATAGAATGTAATGCTGAAGCCCTCAGAGAGCATGTCACATGGATTCATCTTGTGCACTGTTAATTGAATGTCTATTCAAATTGGCTCCCAGAGATCAGATCACGGAAATGTGACAGAAACTCACAAAAATGAATTCTGCAACAATTATATGGAATGAGTATTTCCCCTTCTCCCCCATCCTTGACAGTTGTATGCTGTGGAATTGTAACCCACACAAGCTGAACTCAGAAAGGCCAACCTCCACTCACAAGCTGCTGTCTCCTGCCACAAGAAACATCTCCTCAGTTTCCTGAGGAGCAGATTTAGACCCAGGTCCCACAGGGAAGAAGAAAACTGAACTCCAAAGCCTGTCTTGGCCAGACTAAATAGCAGAAATTCACCAAATTTGATTTGCAGAGCAAGCTTAATGAATAGAGTGGCTTCCAGTTGGTAGCACTCTCTGGGTCCGAAGGTTGTGGGTTTAAGCCCCATGTTAGGAGCTCAAACCTGGGCTGACATTCCAGTGCCAGTGCGGGGAATGATGATGCTTTGGGGGAAAAAAAAACACGCCAGATATCAGAGTTAATTTTCTTCTTGGTAATATTATGCACGGTCATAATAGTCATAAATGGAAAACTGAAGTTTTAGTTTCTTTCTTTGAAATGCTTGCAATTCTTCTATGGTTACAAGCAGTAGATGGTAACTAATGGGATCTAATTTCCAAAATAGTTTTAAATAGCAGACCCTGCAGTTTCTGGGTGTGTCTGAAGCTGATCCTCAGGAACTTTACTCTGGAGCTGATCTCAATTTTGTTTTCCATGAATCCTAATTAATAATAATCCTTGCATTTGATTTAGCACCTTATCACATCATTAAGATGTCTCAAAGCACTTCACAGAAACTATTGTATATATTGACTGTACTTTATGGGTGCAGAGAACTCTGGTACCCATCAGGAAATCTGGGTCAATCAATGTTCAAGAGAAACACATGAGGGTTGTTCTCAGATGCATGCCTGCAGGATTCACGAATTACAAATCCATTATCTGACAAATTGGATTCCATTCTTGAAACCAGCATTCATGGGAATAAAGGTTCCAAATTAATGATTTCTCTCAAGCAGAATTCCTACCGGTCAGTGCAACATAATTCCAGTTACAGGAAGGAGGCCCTAAATGCACAGCTTGAATTTCATATTGAAGAAAATTGCAAATCAAATGGCATTGTAGAAGATCTGGTTAGAATTGACAAGATCTGCAGTGAACAAAATGCTAGTAAGCATAATATCAGATGTTATCAATGGTCATTTGAAGAGCACAATTGCTTTCAGGGGCAATCAATATGGGTTAAGAAACAATAGATCATGCCTCACAATCTACTGGAATTATTGAGAAACAGCTAAACTGAACGATGAAGACTATCCAGCATTTGATAAAGTTGCACATGTGAGATTTTTTAAAGGCTAAAGCTCATGGAATTAATGCCAAATTAGCAAATTGTGATGAAAGCAGGATTGGCAATTGTAATAATAAATGATAAAAGCTGTAACTGATGACAGTTTTGGTTATCTACTGTATACCCTAGTACTTTTGTAGTCATAATAATTCAAGAGAGAACGCCACTTGTAGCACTATAAATTTTGCTGATGATACCAAACTATGTGGTCAGGTGAATAATATAAGATGATATGTGGTTATCACGAAATTCTGGACCTATTGAGTAGATAGGCCAAGGAGTGAGGGGTGGATTTTAATGTAGAATTCTAAGGCATAGATTTAAAATTATTAAGTCTCAAACATGAATATAGATTTGAAGATTATTTTTCCCACAGGGTAGTAGTGGATATGTGAAGGTGACTCCCAACAAAAGCAATGCTGCATTGAAATAGGAAGACAGTAGGATGGATATTCTGAAAAGGTGTGATCAAGTGGCTTTCTTCATTCATAGCCCTCTTGCGGTTGTGTAAACTCCTTCAAAATAGACATGGATAAGCTTCTTCTTATGAACAGTAGTGGAGAAGATAGGGGTATGGTCTTAACAAAATGAACCGTTACCTCACGGGACACGTTTAGGAGAGTTTTATGCTGTGAAGCAGATGGATTAATGAAATAAAGTGATTATATTGGCTTAGGCACCAAGCACTAATCCATTTGAAAGATCTTATATTCATAAAATGAGTACCTGGAGATCAACGGGTTGAGTTGCTTATGGTTTTATCTTAGAGAAAGCTCTGCTTTATTGTGGTAGGAAAATACAAACTGCAGTTTACCAGTAAATAAAGATGCTTTCAAATTGAAAGAGCTCAACATCTGCCAACAAAAACAGTCATTACTGTATTATTTTAACTCAATCAAAAAAAACTGGATTAGCATCTGCTGGAGTCCTGTATTGGTGGATAAGGGGTAAGTGCAGAATGAAATGAAGAAGTGCTTCATCAAAGACAATTAATTTTTAGTACTGGAGCCAAGGAGAAGGGCAGTGGACATATTATTAGTGGAGGCCGAGGTTCACAAGCTCATAAGATTAGTCTGTATGAAGAAGGCCCATCGGATCTCATTCCTTCAGAACACCCATCCTACTGTCCTCCCATCACTGCATCAAGATGCTTTTTAAATGAGTCCAATCTCCTGCCTCAACCATCCTTCTTGGCAACCTGTTCCAGTCATTAATTAGCTGAAGAGAGGAAATGTGTGAGTGGTTGAATAATCTACAGCCTGGTCATAATTCTCCAGGGGCTTTAAGTACCTCTGTCCCTTCGTTCACCTATATTATCTCAGCTGTTCCATTCACTCAGCGACTATTGGCCTATTCCATTTCCTCTGCACTATCTGCCCCACTATCGGCAGATGGGCTTTCAAGCATTGAGCCTCCATTTTCTGGAGCCCTTCTGATTTGCTCCCTCCTTTCCAACACCCATCTTAAAATACCGTTTTAACTGATCTTTCGGTCATCAGCAGAGAGGCTGAAAGCCCTTGGTTTTTGAGCCAGGTGCGTTTGACAGGAAGCATCTGATCCTTGAGGGAGCAGAGGTGGCTGGGGTCCAGGGTGAGGTTCGTGAGTAGGAGGTGCTTCAGGAGATGAGGGCCTCAAGGGCATCAAGAGTAGTGGAGAGGGAATTGTGAAGGAGAGTGTGTGAGGAGGTTAAATCAGTGTGGGAGGTAGGTCAAAGGGTTCAGTTGACTCCAGAGTAGCAGAGAGGGATTGAGGGGGGAGATTTTGTTCCAGGGGCGGTAGGAGATGGAGGTCGGTTGGGGCGTGGTGGGGTGTAGGGTTACGGAGTTAAAGGAGACGAAATGGTGATCGGAGATGGCTTTGTCTGTGATTGTGATATCCAGATACTGAGGCCCTGGATTGGGAGTGGTAGATGAGGGTGAGATCCATAAAACCTCCATAAAAACAGGGCGACTGTGGAAGAAGCAAGCTTGATGGGAAAATGGACTTTCCATATTCCACATGTTATTAAATTATTATATTCTTACGACATGCTTCTTACTATAGCTGCTTAATTATGTTGTTTGGTTGTGAACAATATTGCCCTCTACTTTTAGCAATTGTACTTCATTGAGATAAATTGGTGAAAAATCTTGTTACAAGCAAATACGGCTGAAATCCAAAAAAGACTCTGACAAATGAAAAATAGTAGGTCAATAAATGTTACTGACAATCAAAGAATCATTCTTATGTAGTCTTTGTTTGTAGAATAGCATAGAGCTGTTAATGGAATAATGATTCACTCAAGTAATAATTAACATATTCATCTTTTAAAGATGAAATTACAAACGGCTGAAGACATGCTGCTGAAGTGCCTTTGAATGTATAAATTGCTAAAGGAAAGAAAATTATGCCAATTATTTATCAGTAGGATGTGGGAAAGAAGGTGATGGGATTTGACATTTTAAGAGTCCATGCATTCCTTATGGAAGCAGAAGTAAAACTGTACTGAAATGGATTACAATTTCTTTAGAATGGGTAAGATGTCCAAAGACATCTTTAATTTAGGTTGTTAACAAGCAGCTGATCAATTGAGCTCTGAAGTAGCAATGAACTTAATCAAGGAAAGTCATTTGTTTTAATACCTAGACAGGCATCTAAATTTCACTCATCAGCCCTTCCAAAACTAAAGAATCTACTATCTGGACAATGGTCAGCAGGAGAAAATGATACTGAACATTTTTATATTTCACACAGAGTGATCGTTTAGCCCACAGATTTCTGTCAGTTTGGGGATGGTGACGAGTTTAGATCAACATTAGTTGAAATTCTTTAATGGCCAGTTGGAACCAGATTTGGAAGATTTGACATGATCATATGGAGCCACCAAGCCATTTTGGAGCTTTCAATGCTTGTCTCCATTTAGCTGAAAGATTTGAAAGGTTTATTTTCTGCTGAGCGAGGGCAAAGTTAATGGTTAGAGCACTTGCCTCCAAGCAAGAGGACTTGATTTTGATTCCTGGCAAGATGAAATGTTGGGCAAGTTTCCTTACTCCACATGCCTCTGTTTACCTAGCAGTAAGTAGGAACCTGGTTGTTGGTCGATCGGCAGATTGCTTTTCTGGAGGTAATAATCCCTTCAAAAAATAACAATAAAGAAATTTGGCCACTCAATCCATGACTGCTTGTGGAACACTGCTGCCAATGGCGCTCACACTACCATTCCATCTCCAACCTACCCTTCCTTGCCAAAATCCTGGAATGCATTGTTACAGGTAAACTTCAGTCACATCTTTCCCTTCACTCCCTCCTCGAGCCCCTGCAGTCTGGTTTTCGCGCTGCCTACAGCACAGAGACAGCACTTGTCAAAGTCACAAATGACATTCTCTCTATCTGTGACCAGGGCTCCCTCTGCCTCCTCGCCCTCCTGGATCTCTCTGCCGTGTTTGACACAGTCAACCACCCCATCCTCCTCCACCGCCTCTTCTCCCTCATCTACCTTAGTGGGACCGCACTCGCATGATTCGAGTCCTACTTAACCAACCACCTCCATTTCATCTTAGCAAATGGTTTCTCCTCCCGCCTTGGCCCGGGCACCTGCAGGGTACCCCAGGGCTCCATCCTTAGACCTCTTCTTTTCCTTATCTATATGCTCCCTCTGGGTGATGTCATCCACAGACAAGGGATAAACATCCACCTGTATGCGGAGGACACATAATTCTACTTTGTCTCCTCCAGTACCAACTTCAGGCCTGCCGATATTCTACCAGCTTGTCTGGCAGACATCAAAGTCTGGATGAGTGAAAACTTCCTGCAGCTGAATATAGACAAGACATAAGCCATACTCCTTGGCTTCTGTCAACGTCTTCACTCCCCAAACTCCCTGGGCTCTCCCTCAGACTTACCGAATCAGTGCGCAATCTAGGCGTCTAGTTTGACCTCCAGCTGTCCTTCCTCCCCCACATCTAGTCCCTGACCAGGACTGCCTTCTTCCAACTCCGCCACATTGCCCTCCTCCGACCGTACCTTACCCCAAATACAGCCGAAACCCTCATGCATGCATTTGTCACTTCCCGTTTGGATTACTCCAATGCACTCCTCGCCGTTCTCCTCGGCTCCACCATTCAAAAGATCCAGCTCATTCAAAACTATGCAGCCCGCATGCTGACCCGGATCAAAACCTGTACCCACATCTCACCAGTTCTGGCCAGGCTCCACATCACCGAACAGATCGACTTCAGGATCCTCACACTCATGTTCAAATCCATTCACTCCCTGGCACCTCCCTATCTCTCCAATCTCCTCACTCCCCAATCCATCACCCGGCACCTCTGCTCGACCTACCTCAATCCCTCCGCCTTGCCCCCAGTCTCCCTCAATTCCTCTACTTTGCCCCCACTCTCCCTCAATCCCTCCGCCTTGCCCCCACTCTTCCCTCTTTCAAGCTACACCTGAAAACTTTCCTCTTCAACCGTGCTTATGGCCACTTCCCCCAGTCTCAGAGTCAGGCTCCGCCACTGTTAAGTGCTCTGGAGGGTCCTATATAAGTGCATGTTGTTGTTGTTGCCGCATTTCGCTCACAAAATACAGTCAATTCACTTTATAGTATATTCTGTGAAGCGCTTTGAGATGTTTCGAAGACGTGATAAGGTGCTATATCAAATGCAAGGATTATTAACATTAAACTGGATTCCTTCATTGGAGCAATCAGATTAAATTTACAATACTATTGCTGGTTGTCATCAGGGATTCTTAGATACAAAATAAGTTATTTTCTCAATGGTCCCAGGAACTGTGGACATAAAAATAAAGATAATTTTGTCATTAACATTTTAAAGTTTAATGCTACATATTTATGTTTAAAATGAGATTCCCTTGCAGTGTCTGCACAGCTTCATTTTCAATATTCATCCTCACAAAGATGTCAAGGTAAGTACGATTCAGATCATAGTGTGAGACTGTCTGAACAACAGTTAAAAGCTCCACAATGATCTCAATGTACATTTTTATAAACACAATTGGAAAATTTGGACCATAAACATCCCAATGACTCCTTTAATAGTTAAAATAGTTACATGCCTAAATAAATTCACAATTGAAAACTTAAAAAAAATTGAAACTGGACAGAGATTATTATATACATTGTTATCCTCAGCTAAGTTTCATGTTATTATTGAATCTTTAAATCATACTTCAATGCTTCACCAAAATGAATCAGGTTTTGTTTTGTCAGTTATTTGAATATGTCTCATTTTGAATGAAGTAACAGCTTCAATTTATAACATGGAGAATAATGCTCAAGTGAAATTAATTATGTAATCTTTGACATTTGGATTTAATGCAAAAAGTAGTAAACCTTTATAGAAATAAATCCTCATTTGAAAGTGTTGTTGGAGAAACAATCTGGAAATATTTGAAGTACTGGAAATGTGACAAGAAGAGAACAGACAAAGAGGGGAGGGGTCCTGTAGCTCAGTGGTTAGAGCACTCACCTTGCAAGCGAGACACCTGGGTTCAATTCCAGGCAAGGCAAAACCTTGGGGAAGTTTCCTGACTCCACACGCCTAATAATAATCCGTCCAAAACAAAACAATAATAAATTGGTCATTTTCAATCTACGACTGTTTGTGGGACACTGCTGTGCGCAATTGGCTGCCGCGTTTCACCCACAAATAAATGGTCAATTCACTTTACAGCATATTCTGTGAAGCGCTTTGAGACGTCTAGAAGACGTGAAAAGGGCTATATCAAATGCAAGGATTATTATTAATATAATAGAGAATGAATACCCATTGTTATAGAAGGTACTGAAAACTTGAGTCCCATTTGCCTGCTTATGCATATAATTTTATATATATTGAACGATATGATCAATTAAGGTTGATGGCTTCCATTGCAGTCATTTTCAGGCTCAGATTTTCAGTTTGGTTGAGATCACTTAGGATGGAAATTTAGGACTTACACCTGAGTAAATTATAAATGAATCTCTGCAAGCCTAGATTGAAAATAACCAAGTATTTATTGGAAGTGAAAATCCAAAGCACCTGCAGTTTATTAATGTGATAAGTTATTGTTTGCAGAGAAATGAGAGGCTCATGATTTAAATCACTCACACCTTACCCTCTGGTAATATCTGATTACAATTTAAGTACTCCTTTGTTTATTCCCAATATTCTTTTGATTATCATTGACATGTGAGGATTTATTGGTACAACACTCAATCTATCTGTTACACATGTAGTTTTTGTCATGACCTGCTGGAGTTTATCTTCCAGTTGTGATGGTTATGCTAGCTTTATTTTAGGAAGGTTTACAGACTTCGATTGAAATCTATAGCTGGACAAATCTCTGCATGAAAACCGTATTCTTATAAGAAAAAGTGAACAGCCAACAGAGGCTGTGGCATGTTTGCTAAGGTTACTGTGAATGCCAAAATAATTCTTCATGAATAAAATATTTGCAATTCTCTTTAAAGTAACGTGTTTTAGCCACTGGAAATGCTGCCAAACCTGTCTGACTAAAAGTTGCTATACTTATTTCTTAGTCTCTTTTCACTAGTATTAAATTAAAGGTAGATTTGCAAAATTTGGGTTGTTCCCAAACCAGGTCCCCTGTGTTAAATAATTGTGAATTCTGCATATTTTGCCCCTCCATCGAAGGAAAAAAAACTTACATAACATTGCACTCACCCTGCTGAAATTTTAACCAACTATTTCAGCCTGATCATTTCTGACAGCAATGTCAGTGAAGTATCATTGCCGTCAGCTATAGAACCATGGAAGCTATTCTGCCCATCGTGCCTGTGCTGGCTCTTTTAAAGACCAATCCTCTGAGTCCCATTTGCCTGCCCTTTCCCCATACCCTTGCAGTTTACAACTGTGGTTAAGCATTATTGAATCCTCCAGGATGTTCAGAGATGATCTGGCAGGTTTAGTTTAGTATTCTGAAATATGAAAATATTAAACAATTTAGCTTAATATGAAATCGACTTGAAACCGACAGGTGATTGTCTAGATTTGAAGCTAGTTCATGATGTCTCCGAATGTTTGTTTTCCCTTCCTTTATTTTTCTTTCTTTTGTTACAGGAGCTGGAATTTTCCAATCTGTTTGCAGTTCTGCACTGCATACATTCCTTCTTTGCTGCCAAAGTTGCTTGCATGGATCCTCTCTATGTCGGAAGCCAAAGTGGTGCTGGGAAGGCGAAGTACAATAATTGACAGAGAGACTCGTATTCTTTCTATCCAGTTTGGAGGAGTTGATGCTGCTCTACTGAACATAAATATTTATCATACCACACCCATGGGGATTTGTGTACAAGGTTTCCAGTTCAGGAGACATATTGTCACTTTGCAGTTCAGAAACGCATTCATCTCCTGTGCCGTAATAATGCAAACAGTCAACGAATAAGATGAACTGAAATCCCAGGAGTCTGCAAGCATAGTACCTTTTTGTGACTTCGATAGAGAACAGTCGTTTCCTCAATAACTGTAGCCAAATATTACAGTGAGACAATTCCTTGAATGAGAGCTGTCACTGAAGCACTTATTGTATATAAGATTTCTTATTTGAAGGCATCTCTATGGAAGGACCCATGGATTCAAATGTACTTCTGGTGTTCCAAAGGTGGACATTTTTATGAATTTACATGACATTTAAATGTTAAAGACAGAAGGTTTATGCAAAGTTGGTGTTCAGGAATATGAAAAACAGAAATTAAGGATAAAAAATGGGCAAAGTTGATCATTTTTATGTAAAATAATTTTTGTAGTGGAAATGCCCTTATTTTTACAATCAGCCTGAGTGTTTACTGTTCCCATGTTAATTCTCCGAAACACAAAATGTGAATTGTATTTCTTGAATAACATGTTCAGAATCTGTTCAATGTACCAGGCAGTAATAATAATTATTGTCTCTTTGTTGGAATCATTTGCACAAGCTGTTAAAATCAAGCTAACGTTTCTCTAGGACTATCAATAATTAAAATATAACATAACTTTCATTCATTAAAAGGAAATAACTGACTGCAAGACCAAGCCTGTATTTATTGATATAGCAACATTCTGATAAAAGATGCTTGTGAAAGTGTACCAATACAGACAGATGGACTGTTTACAGCATTTCAGCTATCTACTCTAACCACATCTCCTTACTCTTTACCCTGTACCCTTTCAATACGATTTTCCGTCAATTATTTATCTCATGTTCAACAACCCTCAAAATGTGACTATTTCTATTACAAAAATGGCAAAAATTGATAACTGAACATTCAATATAGTCTTTAAACTTATAAAAGCAATTAAAATTATCGCCAATGTTGTCCAACACTTTTTATGAGGGTTCTGATGCAAGAGACACTATATCATAAATAAGAATGAATGATTCAGCTTTTAATTCTGTTTCTATCTCTTCACGTTCAGCAATGGTTATTTTTTTTCTTGTATTTGTGTTCATTTGTCTGTCATTTCCACTGTTATCCATAGAATCCTAGAATTTTTTTTTACACTAATCCCATTCACCTCTCTCTCCCTGTACCTTTTATTAACATTGATTTTCTTCAGTTATTTATCAAATTACGTTTTATTTGTTGTTACGGACAACCTTTGTGTGAGAACATTTTCTATTGAAGCCTCGTTTTTTTTCTAGTGATGTTTCATTTACGCCCATTTGTTTGTAACTTGCTCATTAGTGGAAATAGTCTCTCTCTATTTACTATCAAAACCATTCATAATTTTTGAATCCTTCTATTATATTCCCCTAAAACTTTTTCCCCCAGCAAACAAAGGCCCAATGTTTAACTATGTAACTGTAACCTGTGCATAATGATCTAATTCACGGGAGGCAACATTTGTAGTATTCCTTAAAGTGTTCCTTGTGTTAACTGAGCCTTTGAAATACTGGAAAATGAGTTGATTACCTATTTGATATCAATACTATCTACTTACCATCAGTGTTAAGACTATTTACTTACCTCTTTAGTGTCAATGTTAAGACTATTTACTATCCTATTTAGCACCAAGGTTAAGACTATTTAATTACCTATCTAACGTCAATGTTAAGAATGATTGCTTACTTATTTAGCATCAATGTTAAGAGTATATTAAGTGGAGTCCTGTAGCTCAGTGGTTAGAGCACTCGCTTTGCAAGCGAGAGACCCGGGTTCAATTCCAGGCAGGGCGAAACCTTGGGCAAGTTTCCTTACTCCACACGCCTAATAATAATCCCTCCAAAACCATAAACAATAATAAATTGATCATTTTCAATCTACGACTGTTTGTGGGACATTGCTGTGCGCAATTGGCTGCCGCGTTTGCCCACAAATATACAGTCAATTCACTTTACAGTGTGTTCTGTGAAGCGCTTTGGGACATCCTCCCGACGTGAAAAGCGCTATATCAAATGCAAGGATTATTATTATTATTATTATTATATATTTGCATGAGTAGTGAAAGCACAGTTCATGGTTTCTAATCCCTGTACTCCTACACATTAGATTGGCAGCCCAGCAGACAAAAACACAGGAGGTGTGAAATCCATCTGGTTTTAGTCTGTGGGACTATCTGATCTAAAATTCATACAGAATTGTGGAAAATTCTTCAATTCAATCTTAATCTGAAGTTAATTACTTTTTAAAAACTGGAGAATACCAACTTCCAAATATACACTAAATTTACAATTTTTCCACAATTCTATTTGAACCTAGATTTTAGAGCAAAATGGTCTTTTTTCAGCCAGCTGCAGAAAAATATTACCAAGTTTAAGAGGAGTCCTGTAGCTCAGGGGTTAGAGCACTCGCTTTGCAAGTGAGGGACCTGAGTTCAATTCCAGGCAGGGCGAAACATTGGGCAAGTTTCCTACTCCACATGCCTAATAATAATCCCTCCAAAACCCAAAACAATAATAAATTGGTCATTTTCAATCTACGACTGTTTGTGGGACATTGCTGTGTGCAATTGGCTGCCATGTTCGCCCACAAATATACAGTCAATTCACTTTACAGTGTGTTCTGTGAAGCGCTTTGGGACATCCTCCCGACGTGAAAAGCGCTATATCAAATGCAAGTATTATTATTATTATTACCCAAAAACGGACTAAGAGTTCCACATATGGATGCCACCTATCCCTGGAAATCTCGGTTTCTAGAATGGAATTCAAACTCTCTCCCTGGAGGGACACACCATGCTTACCTAATTCCAGACAGTTTTATGCACAGCGAAGGCTTGAGAACGCAAGTGTGCATCGGGATACTACTGGAGCTAAAACCGCATAGACATTTGACAGCATTATCTGGCAAACTTACTGCTGTTTGGCCAACAAGGACCATCTTACCCTACAAATCCTGCCAATGACCAAGCCGATTGGTCTGTCATCAGCAATGCCCTGGATCAGGAACAGAACTACCAAGGCAGCCAATGTGAGGTGCTTTCATTCTGAATTCTATTGCCAAGCATATAACCTTGCTGCTAGCTCAGCTCTAAAGTGGCTGCATACTTACTCTTTTCACCGAAGGAGGACAGTCAAAATAGTCGTACAACAACTTGCATTTATATAACATCATTCACGCAGAATAGTGTCTCAGAAATGCTAAAGCTACAGGCAAAAATTAGGTGGAATTTCAGGTCTTAGAAAGATATGGGCCATGGGGTGCTGGCTAAACCTACAGGAGTGCAAAGATTGTGATTTCTCTTGAATCTACCAATAAGGGCACAGATTGCTCAGGTAAATGAATAATCATAACACTGGGGCTAATAATCCCTCAAGAGAATAAATAAATAAAATGATAATTTGGTCGCTCAATCCACAACTGTTTGTGGGACATTTCGCCCACAAATATACAATCAATTCACTTTACAATATATTCTGTAAAGCACTTTGAGACATCCAGAAGACGTGAAAAGCGCTATAATCAAATGCAAGGATTGTTATTATTATTAAATTGGTATCAGATATTGCTTGTCCTAATTAGCATAAGGAATGCATCGTGGAATATCACAAATTGTATTCCAATATAATTTTTTCTTAAAAATATAACTGAAACATCATGTGATATCTCATTTAATCTCTCCCCCACCTCCCCCTAACTCATCACTTCATCCCATGTCTCTCCTACCTCGCATCTATTTAATTTGTGGTGTCTTGGGACAACCTTTACATATTTCAATTCCAGGTCAAGTTTTTTTTCAAAGCCTAAATTTACACAATATGTGTATTATATGTTATAAACTGTCAAGCTGGCCTGAGTCATGTGAAAGAAACAATGAGGGTTCTTCCATGTATTAAGATCACTGAGACGGCATCAGACTCTATTCAGCAAACACAAAGCTGATGTCAAATTGCTTCCCTATGAAAGCAGCTGCAATCTCTCACCTTTCCATCTTGTCTGTGGAAGTGTTTTTCTAAGTGCTGCAAAACAACATGAGCGCTTCCACTGCTTGAGCATCCTTCCAAACAGAGCCTCTTGCATGGAAATAGGCTATTCGGCTCAAGCTTTTCACCTTGACCTCATTACTGCTGGAATTGACTTGCTCTCAAAGTGTTCGCAGCTGCCTCTTTCAAACCTCAGCACATTTTGCATCTCTGTCCCAGGCATTTCATGCTTAAATCTCATTTATCTATTGTGCCTTCACTGCCATGGGCTAATCTTGTGAACCACATTGTCATTGTGCTTGGCATTGCATATCCTGTGGGGATTAAAGCTTCCACATCAGTTTGATTGTCTGTGTGTTTTTCTTATTTTATTCTACATTTCATTAATTCTTCATTTATTCTCATTGGATGAAAATAATGCCATTCCTAAGCATTAATTAATTATGAACATTTCTTAATTAAGAAAAGCTTTATATGCCTGGCCAGAAATTGTAGTTAAAACAGATTCTTAAAACTTGTCCTTGGCAACTAACTGGTTTGGGATTGAAACCCACCACCTGCAACGCCACCCCCCACAATAAACAGGCCTCTTGCAGTCCCTTGTCCCCTTTACATCACCATTGGTAGCCATGCTTTCAGCCCCTAAGCCCTGAGACCCCAGAACTCTCTGCCTCAATCACTCCACCTTGCCCCTTCTTGAAACATCACAGATCACACCAAAGACCTTCCTCTTAGACCGTACCTATAGTCACCAATCTGCTCTCTCCCAGCTCCGCCACTGTTAAGCATTCCGGACAATACTCTGTGCGAGAGTTAAATAATGCAAGTTGTTCTGGAGAATAGTTTATTCCCTGTTTCACAGATTCAGCATCAACTGACTCCATTTCAGACTCTTTTTACATTTTTTGTGGTGTTGAAACTCTAGCTAAGTATTATTTCAGGGTCTTGCTTGTCACTTGCTAAATAAAATAAACATTCCGTCGATATTGAATCTGTAAGACCCCTGGGTAAAAAACGTTCTTCAGAGGTCGGGGGTTGGAGGGGGCTGCGAGAAAGGTTGATTATTTCCAAATTTGTCATTCAGGGCATTTTTGTCCAGCCAATCAACTGTTACTGTCAGTATAAGCTTCTGTCATTGAGTTCCACATTTCACAACCCTCTGCTTGAAGAAGTTCCTCCTGAGCTCCTTAATTAAGGAGCAATAATAATTAAGAAACGGAATGTGTTTGGGAATACAATTATTGCCCCCACACATTGCAATTGTCAAGATGATATATTTTCCTCTTTGTTCTTCTGTGCACACAAGATCTCCACTGCTTCTGAAAAGCACTCTTCTGTCAGAACTTCCTTATACTTGATTATTGGTGAATGTACCATCCTCTGGGATGAAGAGCGAAAATAATATAATAAAATTATGTTGTAATGTATAACAAAATTAAATTTAATAGGCACATGAAATAGTTAGCCCAATAAACAGAATAAATTGTTAATGTATGGGGGGTGGGGGGGTGGGATGGTGAATAATTCCTTCTTGACACCCATACTCTAGTTAGACACTAATCCATCTGGGGTTGGCTGGGACTTTTCTCAAGTCAAAGCTGTCATCAATAACTTTCAGGGGATTGGGCCAAAGTGGCCTTTTATAAGTGTACCCTCTGAGTAAGGGT